TGCCGAAAGCTGGGTGTTTCAACGCAATGGCGCAGTTGAACGGCCCTAGTGGTTTCAATGACCCCCTTTTCTGACCTGTCGAGTTGACTGGCCACAAAAGCTTGAACTTTCTGTGGCCTTCACGAAACGTGATGAAGAACCCCGTCAAACAGCTTGAAGCTTGCCAACTGAACAGTCAAGTCAGAACTTGGCCCTGCCATCTAGCACTTACATGTCCAAAACGCTGCCACAACCCCAGGGCATATTTTGTCAACTGCCGGAAAAAGCCAAGGGCGCCAAACAAACGCTGATGTCAACAGTAGTTGGCACTTTGAGTACGGCCTCAGTTGTCACTGTCCTTTTCCGAGGGCAAGTCGCCCTGTCACCCGACTTCTACTCCACCAAGGGATGTGATAGTTGCGCACTGTGCTTCTGGATCCCCATGACTAGTTAACAGTTCACACAGAAAAAGACAGCCGCTTCCCACCACTTTGCCTCACTTCCCCAGGTGGCAACCAAACAAAAGCAACCAAACCCCAGTGACTCCAAGGTCTGGAGTCCCGGAACTCAGGGAGTGAATTTCGAAATTTCGAAGAAGCCCAAAAACTGAACATGTTGAACCGAAACCCAAAACTCAAGAAAACCCAAGAAAACCCAAGAAAACCCAAGAAAACCCAAGAAAACCCAAGAAAACCCGCATTTCCGGGGTTGCCCAACTCGTTTCTTCGGCCGCAGCGCGGCTCTGCTCCAGGGAGGGCCAGAAGTCCTCCTCCGGCCGGCCTTGGGACACCAGGTCCCAGTCATCACCTTCCTGGCCCACCAAACGGCGAGTCGCAGGTAAGGCTGCAGCACCCCTCAAAAACATCGGTCTTCTCCCACTGCAGGTCTCACTGGGTAAGGCTGCAGGTCTTCTCCCACTGCCATGCTTGGAACTGCCAAGTATGATTTATGCAGCCCTGTCTGCATCCACCCTGGCTGAAACTGCTACCACGAAAGGCTGACTTCTTGCAAGTGGGTAATTTGAGGGCCTACATAATTGCACTCTGTATATTCCCATGATCGTGACTAAGTTGGTTTTGAAGCGCTTCACAACTCCGTTATCGGACCTTTTTGAAACTCTGTTTCGCTTTGTGCCAGTCTCGCAAGTTGCCGATACTTGCACTCAAGGCTCATGTCACTCATGTCTGACAAAACGCTCAGGATTCTCGCAGGAAGAACTGGGGGCGGTCTTCGTGGGACAACTTTGGCAATAATCTAATAAAACTCTTACCAGCCACTTACCACGGCAAACTCACCTACTTACCTGACGCGGGCGATCCAAACAAACTACTGGCAAAGGGAGCACTTCCCCCCCAGTTCCAAGGTCAAGATCCAAAAGCCAACCCTATTTACGGTGAATGCATCTTGCGGTCGGAGTGTCCAAAACAAGCTCGCCGGACAGCCTGGTTTCCCCTGGACCCGCCTGCGCCGAAGCCGGCGCCGAAACCGGCGTCACGGTGACTTCCGCCGCCGCGGTCGTCGCCACCGGGACCTCCGGGGACTCGCTGGCGGTGGTTGGGGACTCGTCCTCCGACCACTCCTCGGAAGCTTGCTTTGGAGCCAAGGAACCAAGGAACCAAGGAACCAACGAACCAAGGAACCAAGCAACCAAGCAACCAAGCAACCAAGCAACCAAGCAACCAAGCAACCAAGCAACCAACCAACCAACCAACCAACCAACCAACCAACCAGCCATGAAACCATGCGAATGGCCATTTCAGCATTTTCCTCCGCCTACAAACACTCGAGGTTCGCCTCGTGGGTCCCTTTGCCAAATGCTTCCCGGATGCCTGTTGGATTTGAGCGTTTAACCCACTTGGCGCAAGTAGGTAGCCCTTGTTATAAGGCTAACTCTTGCCCATCATAACCTACCTGTAAATTGACCATCCAAGTACGAAGAACGCCTTGGGCCCTTGACAAACCTCTTGTTGGATCTTCGAAGGGAATCAATTTCGGCGTTTTGGGCATGGATCGTCTGGGATCCCCATAAAGGAACAACAAGTGGGATGGCTTAATTTGTCAATCCGATCGGGGTCATTCCCACTTGGGTGTCATTTTTTGTGGGTACCTTTTTTCTTTGTGGGTTGAAAGGGACACCAACAGGAAAACCACTTTTTTTTTTTTGGGGGGGGGTCCCCAAAAAACGACACACGCAGTTCGGGTGTCGTTCCTGAAACCAAGTTGGATGGCTCAGTGTGGGGCCAAGGCTCTGAGATAGGGCCCCTCCAGCTGTCAACGGCCACAGAGGTCCTCGGGGTAAGCATGTCGTTGCAGCGCCAAGCCTTTTCCGGCAACCCCGAAACTCGGGGTTTAAGTTCAAGGGCCTCAATGTTTGGAATGAGCATAGCCAACCAACAGCACCGCAGAAAAAAAAAGAAGAGAAAGCCAGAAGCCAAAGGCCCAAACCAAATGCCAGGCATGTCGCTTGCCCGGATGCTTCTGCATCTTGCTGGACACGCAGGGGCGCTGCGCCCGGCGCACCCGCTTATCGAAGGCCAACTGAGCTCGAAAGCGGCAACTCAGCCCAGTTGCCCAGAAATCAGAAGCTTCTCCTTTCAAAGGCCGGTGGCCACACAAAACGGTACCCAAAACGGAGCCCTGGTAAATAGAACCAAGGACTAAAGCCTGCGGTTTTGCTGGCCGTTTCATTTTGACCCGTACCCAAATGACCAAACAAAAACACAAGGGGAAACGCAAAGGGTCGAAGGGTCGGCTTTGGTTACCCTGACAAGCGGAGAGGAAAGAGGTCAAAAGGCCGATTTGCTTTGGACTGGTGAGTGGTAACTAGAAGACTCAGAATCAAGACCGATTGGTACTAAAATGGACCCAAAACCCATGGAAAGGATTTAAAGGGTGGGCCCCTGAAACATTGACTTTGTCTCAACTCCCGCTTGTGGGGCTTTAGTTCAAACACCGCAGGCTGGACTGCTTGCAAGTCCCAGGTGACACCTCGCAGGGGAGTTACAGGTTCCGGAGGGGAACGTGGAAACAACCAGACTTCCCTACCGCTGATATACTAGCAAGAAACCTTGCTCTGTGTAGCACTGATCACAGTTCCCCTTCCAAGGACGCAGGTATAAAAAAACAGGAAACTCACTAGCAGGGCCCGGAGCCTGATGTTCCAAGCAAAATCACAACTCCGAACAAATCCCAACCTCAACCAAAACTCTCAAAAAGATCTTGGTTTCTCTCTCAAAAATACGGGGATCCCAAGAAGTTGGGTGGTTTCCTTTTGGGTTTCGCTTTGCAGCCAACAGGGTACCAAACACTCGCCTCCGGCGCGTCCAGGCCGCAGGCGAAGCTGTTGCCGTGCCTGGCTGTTTGATTTTTCTCGGCTCGCCCCGTGGTTTGCGCTCCTCCCGTTTCGGCCAAAGAAGGCGGTGGCCCCGCTTTTTGGGACCCCAGTGACTCACTTGCCCAAAGGACCCAGAAATAAAAGGTTAACCTTTTGGGGCCATGACTAAAACTAGACCAGAAAGGAGAAACCAAAAGGTCAAAAGGTCGGCTTTGGGCAACTGAGGTGACCAACCGGCCAAATGGAGGTCAAGAACAGGTTGGCGGTGGTAAAATAGGCTCCCCAAAGAAAGATGAAGAGATCATCGAGGCCCTTTGTGCAGCCGATTTGTTTGAAGCTGATGTAACTGGTCGCAGTTTGCTTCCAATAATTCACAATGATCCGTGTTTCCGAACGGAGATTTATATAAGGAAACAACCCAACACCCCAGCACTGCCCCCCCAAAAGATTCTTGGAACCCTGGAAGGGATTCTGAGAACTGTTCGGATAAGCACAAAGCCCTGATGTCTCTCCTTAAGCCGAGGGGCCCCTCCCCGAAACAGAGGACGCCTAGCCCAGCTCAAAAGCCATTTTTGGTGGCAAATGGCAAAGAAAGCCCAAAGGGAAGCTGCCAATTTTTGGTTGGATCTTCTCAGACAAACTTGATTGACGGGACTGCCCCAAGCTTCTTTTGAATGGACGGTGTCAGCGCAAAGGTTTAGTAAGCACCTCAGCCCAAGGCGTTTGATGAACTCGAACATATCATTTTGGGTGCACAAGACGTTCTCAAATTTCATCCATGCCCCTGCGCAGTGTGCCACGGCTTTTTGTAGGGTAGCAAATGGCCAGGATTTAGTGAACCTCAAGGAACAAATTATCTGGCTGTAAATTTTAGTGGAAAGCACCTCACACATGGTGGACATGAATTCCCACCTAAATGATATCCACCAAAGGTTCCCCTATTTAAATCTACACCCAACAAATCTCAAAAGAGATGCCCAGCGCATCCCCAGGACCTGTCTCACTGATTTCTCTTGGCCCTGGGATCATAGTTCAGGCAGCTAAAATCAGCTGACCTCCCTTGGCGAATTCTTCTCACGCTTCAACAAGACGGCCCTTTCGAGGAGCCCAAAGGGAAACCCTCGAGCAACCTCGAAATGGTGGTTTACAGGGAACGGTTGCTCCCCCAAACAAAAAGAAACTAAAGACCGCAAAGGACTGGGGAGATCCTCCCCCCTCGCCCACTCCGGCCTTGGCATGCCGGGCCAAGGCCGGGGCTTGGGACGGCTGAAGTTTCGGGCCCCCGGGGCCCTTTTCGGCCCGAAGGGCTTGAGCTGTTTTGAGGCGAGGAGCCGAGGGGAGAAAGGCTGAGGGGAGCAAGGCGAGCTCTCGGACGCTGAGCCAACTTGGTAGGTTCTAGCTGTGGCAACCGAAGAACTTGGGTAGAAAAGGCCATGGCTATGACCTATACTTACAAAGTTGGCTGAACAAGGCGGTGACTTGACGTGTGCATGGATGGTGTGTCAATTGTATGGCAATGAGCATCACGTAGCATCACTTTCTCTGCATGATCCTAGCAAGTACTCCATTATTTCAAGGCCGAAACAGTTCACGTAAGCAAACTATGTCATCGAGCTGACAGCCCTTACTGAGGGCTTGGGCATGTTACGTCGAGGTCCTGGTTCTAGACCATTCTCATCCGTCGCGCCTCCGGCTTGACTGAAGGCGCCTGTGGAGAAGGCTTCTGCGACCTGACTCAAACTCGCCGTGCAAACAAAATGTTTCAATGGAGTCCATTGGACGCGCATGTGAACCACCTCCAAACACAAAAGCTGGGCACATTGCGGCAAATTGTGTGTGTGTGTGGTGGCATGGGTTCCTCAATTGAAATATTTCGGGCATGACCGGCACACATCAAAAACAGGACACGTTCTCCATTGCCAACCATCCTCGGGAGCCCTGCGATTCTGCTGGCATCCATGGTAGCTCATCCCATTGCATGGTTTGCCTTCGCATGGTACATCAGTCGAGCCAAACTGGCGGCAAACCCATTTCCAAGCAAACAGACTGCCCAGCGACCGGAAAGGTAGAACAATAATTGGAATCCTCTTGGGCTCTTGGGGGATGATTCCATTTTGAGTGGCCGTACCATCATTCGAGTTCAAGGGAAAAAAGGTGATGCAACATGTCGCAAACTGTTGACCTTGGTACAGCTGATAAATCCGGTGGGTTTGGGAGATGTGTGTTTGTACTAGCCAGCCAAAAAAAACATGTACACTTTTTGGGCCACCACCAAGACAAAAGGGAGAGCCACCAAGGCAAAAAGTGTAAAGCGTGTCCGCTGGCTGGGTTCCCTTTGGGTTTCCTTTGCCTTCCAAACTGGGCACCGCGAAGACAGGCCCATGCCCCAGGCACCACGGCTGCGGGGCATCCAGGAGCCGCACACTGGAGGCGTGGTCACCGTGGTCTCGCGGGCCGCCTGGGCCACCTGAAAGGGCCCAGTCAAGACTTTCAGAATGTCCTTTTTGGTGGCATAGGACATCCAAGGGACCACCATTTTGGGTTTAGGTTTAAGACACACCCACTTGACTTGACTTGGTCAGAACATGACCTCGTTCCATCCACGGAAGCTGGCAGCGGCCTTTTGGACGGCTCCGAAGGCCTCGCTCGTCGATCACCCCCCCCCGGCCCCCCGGCCAGCGCCTTGGCGTGAGGCCAGGGCGCCACCGTGGGCGCCAGCGCCACCGGCGAAGGCACCGGAGCCTGGGGCCAGCGGACCGCAAGGGGCCAGCCCCCGGTGGTTACATCCGAGTCAATCCAACCACTAAATAGACGAAAATGGGTGAATTCACCTACCCCATATTGGTACCATTGGTTTTGACCCACAGCCAAATCTAAGCCAAAGCGTAGAACACGGGAGTCAAACTCCAAGCCGTAACAAAGGTATCACGAGTTTGTGTCCTTTTTGGTTTCCCCTTCCAACCCAAAACCACCCAAGGGCAAGCTCCCAAATCCCCCGAACTTCCGCCTCCGGCTCCGGCGTCGCCTGGCTGACAGCCGGATGGAAGGGCTGTCAAAGGGGGCCTTCACAACCACTGGAAGTTGCAAACCAATTGTGCTTCATTCGGAAAAACTGGCTCCTGGCGTTTTTTGTTGGGCTTGGGCCCTTCCTATACCCCAAAACAAATTAAAATGTTGGGTCGCAAAAACTTGTTGGGCTCCTCAGAAGGGGTTGGCGTCAGGTTCTCCATTGGTTGCCGTGGACGTGCGTTGGATGGGTGACCCTTCAGGTCAGCCCCCGTTTTTCTGTGGTTGGCTCCTCTTAAGCCAAGCTCGAGAAGGTATCTTGAAAGGTTGCCTAGTTCGTTTATCCCAGTCTCTTTTCAAATCGAGGGCTGGCCAAATCCCGGATCTTTGGGGTTAAGAACCGCTACAACGCAGGAGCCCCTTACACAACTCAAGGGAAGGACTTGAGGTGCCAAGATCGCCTTTTCGCTAGCCTACTTTTGACATCTGACAAGTCCTCTTCGTATGGTCCGCCCATGCACATTGATCAGGAACGCCGCAAGCAGACGGAAAAACATGCATCTCGGCAAGATGTAGCGGCAGCATGCCGAAAACCGGTCCAGCCCAAACAAACCAGAATACAACAAGTCTGAACCAATGGCAAAACATGTCATGCGTGCGCGCCAGAAAACGCGTAACGGCAGATTGCAAGTCCAAGGAACCCCAAAAAAATGTTGTAGGAAAGCCCAGAAAGGGTCTACGGAATCCTCGAACCACAAGGGGAGATCTGGGGAACCCTCAAACCAGAAGTCAGAAAAAAAAAAACCCTCGAACCACACCGGCAAATCTGGGGAGCGCCCGAAACACAATGGGAAACCCGCGGAATCCAAAAAAACAACATGCGAAAATGAGCGAAAATGAGGGGGCTCCAAGAAGACCACAGAGAAAAATAGAAAACCCTAAAACCACAAGGCGAAAACGAGGGAACCCCAGTCGCTTCGAAGACAGCTGCGCCTGAGTAGGAAAAAAGCGTCTGGGAACCCTGAAACGACACGGGAAATCTGGCAAACCCAAAATCCACAACGGGAAACCTATGCCAAACCCGACCGCCAGCGGAAACCTATTATGCACACCGGGAAGCCTAGGGAACCCTAACAGCAGAGAAAAGGGACCCAAAGACCACAAGGGAAATCTCGGGGACCCTAAAATCACCGGACGGGAGCCTCCAAGCCAACAGGGGAAATGTAGGGAACCCTCCAATCACACGACATCTAGGTGGACTCTCCGTGAAAATATCGCTGGAACCCTAAGGGCCTTGTTTTTCACCAAGGGCAGCTTGGCGATGTACGCCACCCGCGAGAGGTGCATGGACGCGGCCACCTTCGCCTGCCCGAGAAGCTTCGGGTTTTTCAGGGGAAGCCAAGAACAACATGCACATGCACCAGTGGGGTCACTCAAGCACAACAAATAGGTCCTTTTAGAACAAATCAATGGATTCCAGTGGCAAATCAGCATCAAACTGCAAAGGAACATGTGTGGCCGGCAGCCAGCAAAAGGCCTCTAGAAGCCTCGCCGGCCGAGCTCGTTTCCCCCGCTGGCTAGCTTACACGCTACTGGCTCAGTGAATTTCCCCCTTTTCCAAACATCCTCAGAGTGAGTTCTAACAATTCACCCAAAGCTAAAGGATCCCGTTGAGAGGAGCCTCGACTGAAATCCTTTTGCAAGTTCTCGAATTCGGTTGCCCTGAAATGAATTGTTCAAACATGCTTACTGGGTCAGCATTCAACCCTAAATCTGGCATTCAAATGCTTGTTACCGCCAACATTTCAGTAGAAGGCAACGATCCCCCGGTACAGTACAACCAACCACTTCTTTATGTACCAGAAGGCCGGGACCACACCAGTTCCTAGAGCAAAGATGTAAGATGTCGCCAAGCATTAACCCAGCACTTAAACAAGGGCTTCGCACAACCATGGCCAAACCATGTTTGAAAAAATGATTTTACTACCCACAAACCAAACTTATGTTGTTCCCCATTTTAGGGGATGTGGCTGTTTCAACAACATGGCTCGCAGCCCGAGCTCGACAAAACGAGGAACCATCATTGAAACATGGCCCCGACATGGGTCCTTCTCAAATGTTGCAACCAGCTGGCCAAGACCCAATGTTTCTTTTTAGAAGAGCGTCTACAGCCATTGTTGGAGTCCCACAAGTAATTTGCAAACTTGAATCCTTTGGAGGAATGCAGTGACCCCTCTTGCCTGCCTCTGGCACAGGTTCATGTTGACCCCGGATGAATACACCCCTGCTTGCTTTTGCAGGGCAGGGGTTGGAATGCCCCGCCATCAATCCGGCAGATTTCTTATATAATCCGGGGTCAGCATTGTATTGTGTAAATCGAATCATGCAACACAAAACCCTTGTTGGCCCTTGTCAACTTGTTGACACAAAACATGGCCCCCTGCTTGGTCAACATATCTTTAGAGGACATAAAGCAAAGACTGATGCTCATGTTTGACGCCCTGTGTCGCGTCTCAGCTGCTTGTTCATGGCTTAAGGACTCGATCGAAGCAAAGGGAGCATTCACCACCGCAAAGGAGCGTTCTCCCACAAAGAAATGAGCGTCCTAGTGCTTGCGATTCGCAATTGCAGCTATTATCTCGATCATGTTCTGCGGATGTTGCTGGACAATCGGCTTTTCGATCGTTGATAAGAGACTGCTGTTGTTGGACCTCCAAGTCTCCCTGTCCAGTTGGGTATGTTGCACAACCGGACACTTCTCCTGTGACAAAAAGCTCAGCAGCAGCACAAAACCCTATCCATCTCATGGATCTGGTTTGCGAGACCCGTAGAAAGGCCTCGTAAGCTTTGTCCTGCTGTTTGGGCCCAAAGAGATCGATCCGCTGGATTGCGGGGGCTTGGGTTGCCAAGCGCTTGACTCCCAAGCCCAGTTCTCCGCGTGCTACAAATAGCCCCTATGCCACCATGTTCCATTTGCACAAGTCCCCTGGAAAAAAAATATGATTTCCAGTAGTGCTAGATTCCCTTTAAAACCAGCAGGGAAATACTCAGGGAAAAATAAACAATCAATTCAGCACATGGAAGCCATCCGTGGAGTTCCATGCTACGCACCTCGACCTCCTTGATTCCGCCCTGGGCAGCTCCGATCCACCTCAACGCAAAGCGATTGGCTGGATGAAGCAAGCAAACAGCTCGGGGATTGGACAGGAAAGTTACCAGTGGATTGACCAAGCGAACACTGAGCGGATTGGCCACATTAGGTTACAGCTCAGCGTCCGGAAACTCAGAAAACTCTTGCAAGCGTCCCAAAATGACACGGGGCGTGTCCAGGCTACATGTTGGGGTTGGTCAATCTTCCTGGCCCCCAAATGACCATGGGTAACTTCTCCCATTAGTTGGACAGACCATTTGTTTAAAACGCGGTTTTCTCAATGGTCATCCCATGCATATTGGACCTTTTGATCAACCCCCATGTGCATGAACCGAGAATTTGACTGGCCCCCATTCCAAGCAGAAAGAAAAAGGACGGTGTGTAAAGGGCTTCTGATCGAAGTTAAGTCACTATGCATCGCCGGGGGTTCAATCGGCCTGCTTTGCGGTTTGTCTCCGATTACAAGGTTTCTTGTGGCTTCCCGAGAAGCACCAACCACTAGATAGGATACCCTTCAGCAAATGACACACCCGTAAGGTATGATTGCTTGGAAAGGGAAGCCAACCACGTGGTCCTACCATCAAGATGAATACAGGCCTTGCAATAATCATAATATAAAGGCAGGTAATAGAACCCATACACAGGTTGGTCTCCAAATGCGGAATCTCAATTCAGAAGGTCCTCCTTAAAGGAAACCATCCTTGGCAGCTTTCTCTCTGACACGGCAAAATTTGGCAATCTGCGGGGTCCTTCCTTTTGGCCATGAAGTATCCTCCGCCAATTAACATGTAACCTGACAGGCGGGTCCTGGTTTGGACCATTTTCCTGTCAGCGGACCTCCTGTCAGGTTTTCCATGTTAATCGGTGGTGTTTCTCGATTCCCAATCGATATTGTGATGATGGCGTATTGGAAACGAATGGGTTGGTCCCACGTGTGGTGGCTTCGCAATCGCCTTCTCCTCGTTACACGCTGGAGTTGATATTAGTCATGTGCGCGCCGAAACATCTTTGGGAGGCCCAGGAGTGCAGCGAAGCAACAAAGGGGAGCTCAAAAACAGGCACACCTCTGGGTGGTTTGTCTGCTTTCTGTTTCGAAACTGACCGGCCATCTTGGGGATTCAGATTCATGTCCGCATGGCTCTGTCGCCAATCAGGGAACTCTTTGAACAGCCCTCAAAATTGATACCATAGCCAAATGAGTGGCTTTCCTCTGGTTCCACCAAAAGCCGTCCCCTTAAACAAAAAAAGATCACCCCCCCAAAAAAGGGGTCCCGTCAAAAAAACAACAACAACAAATAGGGTCCAAACACCCCCCGAGGCGGCCATATCCATCCGAGGGATCTCCGATTTTCGGCCCCCCGGCGCGGCCATGATGGAGGTGCCCTTCTCGGATGCTTCGATGCCGAACTTGGGCAAGACCTCCCGCGATGAGAGCAGACTCGGACCCCAAAGGGTGAACACGCGGGAACTGATCTCCACCACGTGTGTCGCTCCCCCCCTTCGTTTTGCTTTTATTTTCTTATGATTCTTGCATTTTGTTTGTTTTCTTTTTTTTTTGGGGGGGGGGGTCCAACCGCCAACCATTGAAACTTGGGGATGCATGTCCAGAAAACCATTTGGGAGGGCTATTGTATTCAATTGCCATCTGAATTTTGGTTCTGACAAACTCTCTCTTTTCCTGGCTGGCAGTTCAACTAGTCCCACAAAAGTTCCCCAAAGAACGTCAAACACAAGGTTGGACAATTTCCCGTGGGTTAAACACAAGGTTGGACAGTCTCCGGCGGCGGTCTGGTTTGTTCCAAATCTTGACCAACTTTGGGCGAAGACTGTGGACATCTGAAAAAAAAACTAGGTCTAGCCCCTCACCCTTGTTTCCCGTGCAATCCAAGGGCAAAGGTCCTTTCGAACACTACTTGCTTGGAGATGCTGTATCCCTGGCAAAGGACACTGCAACTCAGGCTCACCATATTGAAACCATCTGAAGGCTAAACCATGGCCAATGGCCCCTGACCATACAAGCCAAACCATGAAAAGCCCTACATAGTTGCAGATTTGGGGGAGCCTGGTAGAAAATAGCCATCCTTTCTGTCCCAAAGAGGGCCATCCCCGCTTCACTTGAGACAAGTTCCTTACAGCCTTCCCCCATTTCCGCAGCAGTCGAGTCCGTGTACCCGCCGCAAGGGCACCCAGAGTTGCCAACTCTGACATTGAAGGTTTGGACTTGCAAATTGGAGCCCTTAGCCCTGAAAAGCAGGTTGAAGCATTTGTTTCCTTGGAATTGCCTTGCCGATTCAGTGGTTTTCCCCATGCTCGTCACCTTTTCGACACCAGGCAAGAGGGATGTCGGCGCTTTTCAAGCAATGTCGCCCCTGGATTTTAAGCTGAATCTGACGGATTAAGTACTATGGGGGTTGCCCCAAAAGTGACCTGATCCCCTTCAGTTGGGACAACTCCCAACAAAAACAACCAGGGCTTTTCTTCATCAACTGGTTTCCCAGTACTTTGAAGCCCCGAATCTTCCGTCCACCTCGGCGCTCGCAAGAATGATGTTCAGCAGCCCGCCTCGAACTGGATGTGCCGCGTCTCTTTGAGCAAACTCCGCCGATCCTCGCAGCTCTCCACAGCCTTTTGGTACCTCATGCAAGCCAGATCCCCCTGCCAAATGAAGGGTGTCCTGATGCATTGGTCTTATCCGGATGAATCCGATGTCAATGCTAAAAGAAAAAAGGGGCACCGGGGTGGGAAAAGAACGACAGAGAGGGGATTTCGCGATCAAAGCCCGGGCCACTGCGGCATCAACTGAGCCGTCTTGCTTTTTGATTGCTCGCGCGATCTCGCTCATTGGCATCGTGGCAAAGCACGCGAGCCTGGGCAAGGAGCGTGCGGGCGAAAGGACAATTTGCGGCCCTTTCTTGGCAAGAAATCAGCTTGTGTTGTACAATGCGTGACCCCTCGAGCTTTTGTTGTATGTATCGGGGCCCATTCAGAAGAATTCCTTCCCTGGAATTCCAGCACCATCCCTTTGGAACAACCTTTTCGGAAGCGGTACATGGGTTCATTTACAGCAGCCAATTCAGGTGATTGTTGGCCTGTTTTGCAGGTACTCATATATATATATATATATCTATATGTATTAATAAATATTATATATATATGCTGCTTTGTTGGGTGTAACACGCTTCTTGTTGCTTTTACAAAGCAAGCGGAACAGGGCACCCTCAAAACCCCAGACCCCACGCGCACGCAAACCCAAGCATGGCGCTGGCGCTCGCTGGCCGCTCGCTGGCCGCTCGCTGGCCGCTCGTTCTCAGCTTCAGCCGGCCCGGCGCCGGGCTCTGCGGCGCAGCGCCTGAAGCTTTGGATTCTGAGGGCAGACCCTCCCAAAGCTGCGTTCAAAAGGAGCCGCAAAAAGGCCCCCTCCTTTGCCCTTACTAGCCGCCGGCCCCAATTAAAATTGGGATTGAGCCAAAAAGGGCGTTGCAAAGGCCCTATTTGGACAATAGGATGTTCAGTCCACGATCTGCAGTCTACACCAAGCCTAGGATTCTTGCCGGTTCAAACAAAAAAGGGCACCCTCGGCAAGACACCCATTCCCCTTTAAGAATCACCCAAGGAAACTCACCCGCGGGTCCAATTTGATTGAGACGTCACGTCAGCCTCGCCTCGTAGTCCTCCCACGGCGACACCGGCGCTGGCGGAAGCGGCGCCGGGAGCGAGGGCGGCGGGCGCGAGGCGGCCTGACGGCGCCCGGAACCCGGACGGCGGTCGGCCGAGATGGACAAACTGCCCTGGCCTACGGAAAAGGCAAAAAGAAGGCCGTTCAGGCAAAGTCTAGATACTTATATATAAGCCTTTAAACAATGGACCTCTTCGAAGGGAAACCTGACGGATGGTTCAACCCGAATAGACATCTCAGAAAGGCGAAGCGAACACCTGTTTGCCCTCAAAAGGTAAAAACAAGTTTTAGGACTAATTTGGGGGACCGTTCAAATCAGTAGGGTCTTCTGGATTAATCCAAAATTTGAACGAGATCTAGTCACCCCCCCCCCTCCCCGAATATCACGGAAGATACCCAGAACACACAAGGGAGGCAAAGGCCGGGTGCCAGCACAAGATGCACCACTCCCCAATACTCCCTTGCCAAAACGACATCATCATCATCTTGCTCTGCGACGTTCTGGACCAGAATCCAAACCTCTGAAATACTAAACTTCTGGGCCGAATGGATTGTTTCAAAAGGACATGGGACATGCCTCCCACATGGAATACAGACCACTGGGATCTTTGCCCGTAGCATGTATGATGATTTGACAGGTCCCCGCCTCCTGCAGCAACTGGCTCCAGGCATCCGCGCGCTGAACCGAGGCCGTCGCCGCCCGCAGCGCATAGGTCGACCGAGGCGACCGTGGCGACCGCGGCGATCGCGAGGATGAGTCCCTGGAGTAGGCCCCCGTGCTGATAAACGAATGGACCTAGAAGTTTTCGGGCCACCCGCTTGTCTTTCATCCACATCCATTTGCTATGCTAGGTGGACATTGGAACGAGGTTGTGAGGTTCCTCATAGAAGAAAATGGTCGGTAAATTCTTTAGCGCATCAGCAGAAATCTGGCCCCTTGCGGTTCCTCGGAGTCTCAACATCTTGGGTCCGGGATGGGGGCGCTTGACAAACCATCTCACCCGAAAGGCAGTCCCTATACCTGGATTTCACCATTGGCGAACAAAAGCTGAAAGGCATAGGGATCGAAAGCCCTAGGGCTTCAAATCCCCAAACCAAGGCCTCAAACCAACTCGATCAACCAGAAGGTGATGATGTCACAGAGCTGGGCACCCTGGGCGAACAGATCGAGTGTCCAGATGGATCCCCGCCTCAGGCCTGGGTCCTGCGGTCGATCCGCGGGCGATCCGCGTATTGCTTTGAGCCAAACCCTGGAGGGAGAGGGCCAAAGAACCTGAACCATAGGCCCAACTGGGCTTGTTCTCACTTTGGTGTACATAGGTTAAGACGACCAAGAACGGAGCTCCCCATATTTCCAACCTGAAAACCTCGCCCTGGAAGGACACTCGCATAATCTCGCCAAACAAATGGCCGAGGTGAGCTTCAAAACGACAATGGGAGATGTAGGGAACCCTGAAGAACGCTGGCAGGCAAGGAGGCTTATGGTTGAGAATGTTGAGAAAATAAACGGCGTGCGCTTTTTGCAAAAAGTGACTCCCGCTGACTACCTTGTCACTTGCTGATTCCCTTGGTGCCACAGAAAGTGGGTGCTCCAAAGGCCTTGTCACTGGATCTCCCAAAACTTGGCCGATCGCAGTGTTGGTCTGCTTTAGTATTCCCAAAGCCCCCCTCCAAAGCAAGGCGTGATACGAATCTGGAAAAGGAAAACACAGGGATCCAATATCAATGGTCTATTCTTGTGGTTTGGACAAAATAATTATCTATGCGCCCCTGGTCATGCAGGTTGTTGTGTAGTATTACATATTACAGTTATTCATCTGCGCAGCTCTGCAGGTTTACATCTCCATGTCAAAAACTATGAATCCAAGTAATATGTACAAAACATTGGTTGAGCTGAACAGCAATCATTGAGCAAACATTGCTACAGATGTCTCTGAGGAAGACTTCAACCCCAGCGTGTCCTTTTCTCTTTTTTTTGGGCAGGGGCAAGCAACCACCCAGGGTTCGAGATACTCAAAAAGTGGAACCCTGCACAAAAGGCACGATGGTGACATCCTCCAAAGTGTTCTCTAGATAGTGGTTTGGAATTGTTCTCACTCTCAAAAACTACTGTTGCAAAGCCCCGAACATTAAACGGACCCAGTTCATCACAGGACCCTGAACACGTAACAAATGGGTTCCAGCTTGCACAAACAGAGAATCATCTGTGTGGCATCCCAGAACCCATTTGATAGAGCCCGCTCAGGGTCACCCATCACCCATCGAGCAGCTCGCACTCCCGCCGCGCCTCCGCACTCCCTCCACAACTCGCACTGAGGCTCAGCACCTGCCGGAAGGTTTGGCACTCAAAAGATCCGCCATGGTTACCGGCAACTATTCCTTAGGGTTCCCAAGGTTTCCTTACCATGAAATTTTGGGGCCCTTGGTTTCCTTAGATTTGGGTGTGCGTCCTACCATGGTTTCCTTTTGGGTTCCCTCTGAAACAACCCCAAACCGGTTCCTCCCGCCCTTACACACCCACCCGCCTCAGGCGCCGGCGGCAGTGCCGCGCCCTCGCGCCACAGCAGAGCTGGGGCATCCATGGAACCTGCCGACGGCGAGCAAACATGCGCCGCTCGGCCGAAAGCCCTGGAGTCAGGGAGGGTTCTTTTGCAACCCTGGGTTAAATAGACAAACATGGGGAAGTCTCCTCGGAATGGAGTCTTGGGTGAAATCAACTGCAACTGCAAACAAAGCCAGTGTGAGGTCGCGCTGTCACGCGTGCTCTGTCCGCGACCAGGCTCATCTCTCCCCCTTTCTCTCCCGGGCGACGCGAGTTTCGACAAACCCTTGGCACAAATGCCCATTTTTTAGCAATAACACATTGACAAAAAGGAAGCTCGCTTTAAGTCGGCTGGCCAACAGGTGTCCTTGAACATTCCCTGTACCCCCCTTAAAACATCACCCCCAAACGAAACTCGCCTTGGGCGAAGTCATATATGTTTTAAATGGGTCCCCCCAAATCCACCCCCCAAATCCCCATATTCGTATAACCCAAAATAGCGGGAGGAGTCAGGTCACGCTTCGGAATTCTGATTGTCAGACATGCGCACGCAATTGCATTGGTTCAGCAAAAGCAGCAGCAATAGCTACAAGAACCAGGCCAACAATGACAACAGCAGCACCGGCACCGGAATCAGCGGGGCTGGCGGGAGAGTGCACAGGAGCAAGAAACGCAAAGGGCGCTTCAAACAGGCGCAATATCAGCGCAAAATAAGCGCAACATGAGCGCAACATAAGCAACACAAGCACAACACAAGCGCAACATAAGCGCAAAATAAACGCAAACTAAACGCAAAATAAAATTAAATAAGCTTTAAAATAAGCTTTAATAAGCTTAAGATAAGGGTAAAATAGGAAGAACCTGTGTAACCCCCCGAATCACATGAAAATTCTGGATTTGGGGGGTGAATTTGGTGGGACCCCTTTAAAAATCTATGACCAAGGTGATGTCGGACACCACAAAAACCAAAGGGAAGCATGGGGAACCTGCCCTCCACACCCCGCCTGCATGCGCCATGCAGGCGAACCCGGCCAAAGCCTGGAAGCGGCACAAGCGCTTGGTTGACGTTGCATGATAAGAGTTAGCCCAGCAAAAAAAATATATTTTATAGTTTGCTCCAATTTGAGTCACTGGTTACATGTAAAATGTATCCTAAGTCTACCCCAGGTTGGAAGGGGAGCAAACAATCAATTGTTAGCAGTTAAGTGAAAATTTCCCGCTAAACCACAAGAAGTAAAAATGAAAAATGTGTCCCAACAACAAGAGATCCGCCCAGGTTTGGACTGCCCAGCACTCCCCTTGTCGTCTCTAATAAACACTGACGCACAACACGCTCACTTGCGCAAAAGAACCTAGACATGGAAGGTTTGACCCTTTCAGACCTTGACACAACAAACTGTAACATGGGAAAACCAGAAGGTGCAAAGGAAAATTTGATTTGTCCAAGAGAGATACCGCTGGGTGAAAGTAAAAGGCACAAATCCCACCGCATTCAGGTTGAACAAGCCCTTGACTTACCTGAAGGGAGTTGCCCCTTGTACTTCTGCTCTGGTGTTCGCTGCCGTAGGATTGTTTTCAGTACAAACCAGTACGGTGACACACGCTTGAGCAAAACTATCCAGTTTTGCGTGTGCGTCTCTCAAAAAGTTGGAATTTAAAGCCAAACTGGTGTTCCTTAGGGCTTCCCTTTAAACCAACAACCAAAGAGGGAACCCTCAACACACACACACACACACTCACATACACATACACGTGACACATGTCAGCTTCCCTGCAATTGTGGTTTGGATTTTTGAGCGGTTTCCCATTGACCCCTCTACAAAGGCCTGGGCTTCAAATCCAAATTCATCAATCCAAACCACCAACCAGGAGCAACCTGAATATTCGTCTTCGTGGGGACTTCGGCGCCGGCCTTTTGCAGCAGCGCCAGGTGTGGGGGCTCCGTTGTCTCCGCCTCGAGAGAAACTCCGGCACGCGTGCCGTTGAGATACGGGTCACTCCCACCCCGAACTGGAAAAACACATTGATTCCCCAACCAATGGCCCCCAAAAGAACTGATGACACATATCCGTCCCAAAAATTGGAGCTCAACCAAACATGAGAACATCATCTCGACCCTTTTGTTTGAAATGTTGGAGCCCCTTTCTCTTTCCCCCAAAACTGGGTTGCCTTGAACCCAGAACAGGAACATGTAGAGACAAGTCACACGTCAGGCTCCAAGGACAGTGTTGCTCCAAAGGCTCAATAGACTTCCCACCCAAACATTGCACGAGCTGGTGGAAACTCTTTCAGATGTCCATGAGACTTCGATTCTTGACCCAAAACCAAAACAAGGACCCTGGTACCTTGCCTACACTGGGAAAGCAAGCAACGTTACCATTAACCATATTAACCATGCGTGTAAATGGCAAAGCTTGTTGAGTATCCGTGCATTTGAAAGGCCAAGGGGATCCATACATTTGAAGCCCCCACAAATGGCGTACATTCTGCTATAAGGATGTTAAGACATATATCAGTGAATAATCAACTATTTTGTTGGCCGTTCACGCCACCCTCCCCATAATCAGGATCCTTCTCGGACATGTTCCAGAACCCGCGGGAAACTTTTTTTTTTTTGTTTCTTTCCGGAAACAAGGTGGGTGAAGAGAATGGGGAATCAACTCCGAGAATGTTCTGTCAATGCTTTCCCCAAACGCGAGGTGTTTTTTGCTTGGACCAATGGGTCATTGCCGCGGACCTTTCTGGCTGTCCACTCCTAGGCATGTACACCGACTAGCTTGGGGTTACCAACCATTTGCAGGACTTTCTAACGCTACATGTGCCATGGTCCACACTGCAGAAGCGGGCCACGGTCATGGTTCAATTGTGCTCCCTGAGAAGGATTCCAACCCCAAGTAGGAGTTTTTGACCATGGTACATATGGTTTGCAGCTGTCAGAGACGGCCTTTCAGCATACGCTACATTAAGCCTCGAGGCTTGCGGCAACCCCCCGCAGGCGGCAAGACTCACGAGGTCAACGGGCTTGCGAAATCGACAGGTTGAAATCAAAAATCTCCCAGATTCCAAACGCAGCTGTGTTCATCCGTGAACTTTAGCAATAACTTCTCTTGTTTCATTTCATTTCAGGCGATGACCGGTTTACTCCAGGTTATCGTTCCACCGTGTTCCACGTCGTGTCATGTTTGGTTTGTTTTGTGTAAATTAGGATCTGTCCAAATAATTTGCCGATAGGGGGAAGAAGTTGATGAAAGGACCCTTCCCAATCGGTTGTCGGTGCAACCCCTTCATCTACTGTAGTGTCACTCTATCTGGCAAACTATCATGATTCCCAAACTGGCAATCAGAGACCTTTATCACGAGCTAAATCACTTGATGTTCAATGGGTGAGTTGGTTCTAAGTTGCCCGCCAGATTCAACGTTCTAACTCTATAGTAAGGGGGTAACACCTGCTTGCTAGCTGACTGAGGGGGGTTTAACTAACTTGTGGTCAAACTCACCTAAACCCCAAACCCTACACATCCATAAACCCTAAAGCCTAAACCCTAAACTCGCTACTGTAAAGTAAAGCTAACTCACTCCATGGCGCCATAAGGGTTGCAGACGAAAGTACCTACATGCGGCCATGGACCGCACCCCCCCAATCGGCAAGCCTCGGGTGGCCGGCTCGACTCGGGGGGCGGCGCCTTAAAGGATTCCGAGGCCAATGGTCTCTTGGAGAATTTCTCCAAATGGACCTCTTTTGGATGGGTTTCAAAAGAAAAGCAAACAAAAACAAGCCATGTGGCGGGGGGGAGGGTGGGGGGGGGGGGGGAATTTAACCCTGTCTGGTGCATCTAAAAAAAAGAGCAGTCCGTTTTCATCATCCCGTGCTGATCCTTGATCCTTGGTTCCTCTACAGGTGACCCCGCTGTTCAATCTGCTGGAAGGCCCAATGCCGGTCCAAAATGAAACCACAAAGCCAAGAAATCGAGGAACCGCATTTTGACACTGCAGCTGGGTCAATGTGATCTGCCTTCCAGCCACCACTGCAGCACATGATAATGCATCTGCGAAAAGAAACAGTCATTTTATGGAAGAACACTTCATCACGGAGAGCTCCTTTCGCCCCCGTTCCACAAACTCCCAAATGCAAATGACTCAGGGCATGTCTCCACAAAACACACACACACACACACCCTCCCCACACAAAATGCCGGGGGGGGAGGGGGTCCGTGGGTTCTCTTTACACCAACAATTTCTTGCGAGGAGGAACGAAGGCACGAAAGAAAAAAAGGCAGAAATCAGCAGGGAGAACAAAGGAGAGCTGATTCGCTACTTAAAGACTTCAGCTAGCTCAGCTTTCGTGACTCGCCAATAAAGGGCATACCAGAAAAGGGCAAACTACACTAATTCATAAACCTAAAATCCAACTAAGGCACCTTCTTATTCATGGGTGAGCTCTTTCTGCTTTGCCCATATCAAAACTTTCAGATTTGGGTTTGTCTTGCTGCATGAGGTACGTATTTTAGGGTTGGTCCAAGGGGAACCAAGAGGGAAACAACCCATTTTACAGGTCCAAAAGCTGAATTGAGGCATCCTCGAGTAAAGGTACCTTTATCATGGCGTTCACTCGTTATTGCCCCCCGAATCGGTGAGCTCGCAAAAAAAAAAAAAAACGCAGACCTCGGCGCCTTTGGCCTGAGGCTCTGGCCGGCAACGCCATCCGTCGCTTCCGGCGGGCGCCTTCCGTCACGCCGGCCTCGGAAGTCGGAAGGCGCGCCTTGAGCCCCACGAAGGGTCGTTTTGGGGCGCCCAAGCCTTGCTCAGTGGCCCAAGGGATCTGGAGACAAAGGCTCAAATGCCCAGTGAATTTCCATGGGAAAAAAGGGCACCCTTCTTTTGGTTTGGTGAGTTTAAAGGGGAACCCTTACCCAAAAAAAGGAAAAAAGGGCACCACTGGGCAACAGAGAAGGGGTACCTTTTGGGGCCACTAAAAGTGGACCAAACGGGATGAAAGGCCAAAAGGCCGGCTTTCAACGGGGAAGCCAAAAGGAAAACCACCAGTTCAAAGGGTCCGATTCCTAAAAAAGAACACACGGGCCACGAGGTTTTGTGACCAACTCCATTCCCATCTCCTGAGTGGATTGGCTCAAAACGGCTGAAACTGGTCTTCCTGAGTAAGTCCGAGAACGGGAAGCCAAATCTGGAGCCTGAAAATGAGAGGCTTCTTTTAGTTCCCGTTTCCCCTTGAAAAAGCGCAAGGAGTTACTCACAAAACATCAAAGTGCCAACAGAAAGCCCGGGACCGAATCGCCATGCCAAAATCAGTTCGATCCTTCATGCTGCTAAAGCCTTCTATTTTACAAGCACCATTAACTGGAAAGATGAGCCAACTTGCACTGATGCATTCCATCTTTCCGAGCAAGCTCGGAACATGTTCTCCTCGTGGACCCCCATCATCCTTCTCCACGTTGACAGTACGTGTTCTGAAGCTGCTGCATGTATAGCTGTAATTACAGGAAAATGAAGCGGGTGTCGCGTTGACATAACAATAGTTCAAAGTGGTTTGGTATCCTTTGTTGACTTCACTTTCAAAGCAGTCGCTTACAACAGGGAAAAAAAAAACAAAAAAACGGCACTTTTTGGCATCACCTAGGTGTTGTTTCCCGAAGTGTTGGTGCAATTTCAAATTCCAAAAGTGCTAGTCAAGTCCGTCACAGTAGCCTCAAAACACGAGACCCGCATTGCATGTAGCCCTCAAAACACGAGACCCGCAGCAACTCGGCCAGGCGCGCGCGGCGCGCGGAAAGCCCCGAAGACCCGCAATCCCGCCTTGCGGCAAGCCTGGATCTCCCCGGCGATCCGGCACAGCCTGGTGGCGGCTCAAAAACAAATCGCTTGTTCTCAGTAGAGAGTCTTTTTGGGGAAAGCCAAGGCCAAGGGACAATTAGCTTCAAGAGACGTGCTTAAAGAGAATCAATTCGCTAAGGTTCTTTGTTGAGCAAAGGGAAAGAAAGGAAAATACCCTAGAATGACTGTTGCAAAACTGGGTGGCCTACGTTTGGGCCGCGTTTGGGCCACAAACAAGCAAACAAGCAAGCAAGCAAGCAAGCAAGCAAGCAAGCAAGCAAAGACAAACACAAACACAAACACAAACACAAAGACAAAGACAAAGACAAAGACAAAGACAAAGACAAACACACACACACACACACACAAACACAAACACAAACACAAACTAACAGTGACCCAGGGAAGATTGAAGCCTCCACGATTTGGCTTGTCAGTTGCAATCAACCCTATGCTAAAACCAACATGTCTATGTCAGACGTGTCATGACTAATCAACCTTCAAATGTATAATAACATCGCAGACCCCAGAAGACTTTGCCATTTCCATACTGCTTACCAGCGCACAGTCACCAAACAGTTCCTCGCTTTGATAACCCTCAGAAACAGTGAGAACCAACAACTCCCTGGCTGAAGAGAAAGCCCCAGTTTCGCATTGCCTCCAAAACATGAGCGTGTCCTTTTTTGGGGGACCCCCAAAAAATGGAGTTTGGTGTTCCTGTTGTTTCCCTTTGAAACCACCAAAGAGGGGCACCCTCCAAAAGGACAGCCCCAAATTTGACGCCTCGGGCTTTCAGCGCTGGTCTCCAGCTCCGGTCCGGGCGCCGGGCGCCAGTGTGACGTTGGGCGGGCGGCCCGGGTTGGGCGCCAGGACCTGGGAGAAAGCTGTGGGTTTCATACGGACCGCGCCGGGGGTTTGGAAGGGCCATGGGTCACAAGCCAAATCGTACCCCCAGTGAACATCCGAGTCAATCCAACCACTAGAATAGACTAAAATGGGTGGTGCACCTACCCCAACATGGTACTATTGGTTTTGACCCCACAGCCATGTGGGTTCTCGGTTTCTGAGGATGTACCTTTTGAAGAGGTGAGGGATTGAAAGGGAGACCACAAGGGAAACAAACACACGTTTGGGGGTCCCCAAACATATGAGTAACGGACAATATTGCTTACTGGCTGATTTGGGAAGGTCAGGTTTTGTAAGGAACCAAAGGAAGCTCAGTAGCACCCCATGGCCTCCCAAAAACCAAAGGCTACCGCTGAAATTGACTGCTGCTCCAGCCAGGGAGAAAAAAAAGGGCACCGTGAGAACTTTGTCCTGAACACAGCTGACCTGTTCAGTTGAAATAGATGGCCCTGAGGAAGAGAATAAACCAAATCTAAGCCACTTGCAGCCGACCCGGCCGCGCCTGGTGCCCTGCAGCCACGGCATAGCGCCACCGCTGCCAGCCCTGGCCGGTACAGACCACGCACGCGCGCGCGGGCCGGTTTTTCTCCCGGCCCCAGCACCTCAAACAGGCTGCAGGGTGCCCTCCCAACTAAAAACGCGGCACAAACCTATTTTCCCCAAGTTTCCAATGTTCATAGCAAAAACCCACCCAGAAGGTAACAAATGATATGCATGTTTTGATTTGCGAGTCTAACCTTCACACCAATCCAAAGCCGTAGGGTGGCTTTGACAACTCAACATAACAATTTTCTCGGTTTGAAGTACGGCTACCTGAAAAGAGAAGCCACGTGATGCTGACCCTTCTCCCCTTGTCTGTAGCCTTAGATTCCTTCCTATCGGTTGGAGAGTTCCGAAGCCATATCTCCCCTCAAAATCCCTCAAACACATTTCTTTAGCGTCTGGGCATACTAATGATGCTTAAAACTTAAAACCAAACATGTCCTTTCAGTTCAGTGACCTCTTTTTTCATGTTTGAGAGCAGCCCCCATCCATGCTTAAACCCACCAAACAACTATCTCGGCCAGGGCGCCCTGCGGTTTCCGCTGTGAAAGCGCCCGCCTTCCGCATCACCTCCCCGGCGGACATGCCCCGCAGCCCTGGCCTGGGCCCACCCGTTCCCGTTTCCGCGAAATCGTTGTGAGCCGTTCCGAGACCTTCAGTGTCCCGGAAAATGTCATAACCAGTGGCTCATCAACCAAACAGCGCTTAAGTTACTAAAGTTACTATCACCCAACCAACCAGCAGTTAAGTTACTAAAGAGGTTGATTGAGCATCCAAGTTCCAATCCCCAAAAATGCAACCACCTTAATGGACCCAGCATAGTCCATGACCATCAAAAGCAACTCCACCACCTGCCCCCTCTTTTTGAAGAAGATCCCGAGTCCGACCGGGCCCCGCGAGGAACCCGCGAGCCTCTCCACTTGCCTCCCGCGGGCTCTGTGCCGGCGGACAGACACCTGGCGACAGGGTGGGGCCAACCCCGCCGGCCAAAACACGTAAGGAGCAACACAAAACAGGCAGACAGGCAGACAGGCAGACAGGCAGGCAGGCAGGCAGGCAGGCAGGCAGGCAGGCAGGCAGGCAGGCAGGCAGGCAGGCAGGCAGGCAGGCAGGCAGGCAGGCAGGCAGGCTCCCTTGCAAAAACTCCAAGGACCTCCCCCCCGGCCCTGCATGCGCGTTGTGTTTTGGGGGACAAAACGGGCTCTCGGCTGAGACCGCCTCCTTCACCGGGCATTGCCCAGAAAATTAAACGGACTCTGCCAGCAAATTAAACGGACTCGCACAACGACTAAAGAACAAAGCGACGGCAGCAGCGCACACATCAATGCCTTTCCCATGAGGCCACTGGGTCTGTGCTTCGTTGAAATGCCGCTTGCCATCTCAATTAAGCAAGGAACAGTCAAGTCAACGCATCACCTGCAAAAGCCCGAATCTGCCTCGCAAATGCAAGGTAGCGAGACAGCACCCTCCTCAAACGTTTGTGGCTCAGCCCCAACATTGGAACCCGCACCTCCACGTCTTGGCTGCAGAACGCCTCCAGGGCCTGTCAAAAAGCCGTCTATGAGGTCGGTTAGGAAAACTCTGTGTGTGTGTGTGTGGAATGATAGGAAGGGTTTTCACCCTGAGAATCACGCACCTGCAGCTTGCCAACAGGTTGAGCTTCTAAGCAGAGGGGTGTCAAACAAGAGCACAAGCACCCTGGAATGCGCCTCAAGATACATTAACAGATCGTCTGATTCGCAAGGCGGCCGTCAAAATCAGAAACTGGTAAATGTGAAATGCAAATGCATCCTGGCAGCCACGCTGCAAAGGAGAACAACCAGCTTTCCCGGCTACGCCTTGTGCAGCAGCGAAGCCACGTAGTGCTGCATTGCCTGCGGAACAGCTCTGTGTCTGAGACGAATCGGGGCCTCCCCACAAAAGCGCAATCATTTTGCTAGGAGGTGCCATAAATAATGGCCCTGGGCCCAACTGCAAGTAAAACAACGTATCGTACGTACCGCACGCCGGAAGCATCCCGCATGCACGGCCCTTGGGGTTCCGCGCCATGCTGTTCCGCAGGCGCGACTGCAGTAGGACCTCGTTGCACGTTTGAACTACAGGGGGTCAGTACCTGGTTGAAACCCGTAAGCGACAAAGTCATTTTGACCCAACTGATCCTATCAAGTTAAATGCTGGTTATGCAGTCCCCAAGGAGGGGTAGTTCATGCGGGCGGGGATTTTCCTAAGAAACCCTCGAACACACCCAAAACAACCGTCAAAAAACCTAACAAACCCTAAACAAACCTAAAACAAACCCCAAAAACCACCCCAGATCTCTCAACTCCCCCCCTTTTCCATGAGCTCAGGCGCCGGCCAGCAGGGCGCCGCGCCGCTGCCGGGCCAGCAGCTCCTAACATGCCATGAACAGAGATGCAGCCAAGACCGAAGAAAAATCATGCACCAAAAGAAAGTCAAAGAACCAAGAACCTGCTTCCTAACAGCTTGGTTGACGATAGGGGAGCAAACATTCAGATTTTAGCAGTTACCTGCGAAGCCCATGTGTGCGAAAAAATGCCTCCGAGCAAAACACACTAAATTTTGGTCGTTGTTCGGAAGAAAGATCGTTGTTTGGAAAGAAGGTCTGTTTTTGTGGAGAGGTGAGCTGGCTCATCTAAGATTTCCGGATTTGTCCGCCCTTTTCCGTCCGTTTCCGCCTTTGTTCCGGGATTTTCCGCCCTTGTTTGGCTGTCCAAGATGCACTCCACCCACGAAACTCCAAAAAAGGTCGAAGTTTGGAACAATGCCGTTTCATGAAAAAAAACAGTTTACAGGTAAGGGGGGATTTCCCGCTAAACCACAATAAGCAAAAATGTAAAATGTGTCCCACAAAAGAACTCGGTTGCTTTCTGCTCTCCTGCTAAAAGTTTAACTTTGAGTGGTTTAATGGGAAACCCATTTGTTGGCAAAAAGCGAAAGTCCTAACATCCAAGCAACACGCACCAAAGAGAAGGTGGTGCAATAGCGAAAAAGTTGGGCCTTGGGCCAACATCAAAATTGCACGAAACCTAAACACCATTAAACACCAATACCCGTGCGGCGGCAAAATCAAATACAATCGTCACGTGGGTGTTTGTAGCGGAAGCCACATCCAAAAATGGGAAGCAAGCAATTTCGGTTGTGCATACCTGGGATTGGGTTTTGACCCAAGTTTGCCTCAGCTTTTGCCGGCTTTTGCCCACGAAAATGATGTGTGGGGACTTCAGTCCAGCAAACCTTACAATGCAGAAGCTGGGTCGGGATTCATAAGCCTGATCGAAATGAGTCTGGCTCACCTCCGTGCAAGTTGTGGGGAAAATAATCCTTTCCCAAAACGTTAAAGCGTAAAGATCCAGCCAAATAGCAGCCAAGTCCTCCGCATTGGGAGACAAAGTCTCGCGGATTGTCCATTGCCATGCATGCCGCTCGACTGGCCACAATCAAACATAGGGGACCGAAAAATGGTGGATCCTTTTGATTTCCCTTTGACAAACCATCCAAGCAGGGTACGTATAGGTGTGGATTTTTTGGGGAACCTTTCGGTGGACATCATTTGGTGAGCCGCATCTAACAGTCCCACATGTAATGTGTTGATGTGGGGGGGCACTGTTTTCTCGACCCCCCCCCTTTCCCACAAACGAAAAGGTCCAACGGAGGTCAAACACCTGGTTCTAGCAATGTGAAACAACAACAAACCTTTCATAAGTTGGACCCTGATAGAAGACCGCAACTGTCTCGGTCCATGTTGTGGGTGACCTATGGTTGAAAAACCCTCTGCACCAACCCCCTCTCCCTGCTGAAACCAACCCTATCCTCCCCGCTCAGATCCATGGAGGTGGCGCGCCACCATCTGCTGAAGCCCTCCTGCACGGGCTGAGCAATCCAACCAACCAACAAATAGGCCCCTGACTGGCTGATTTTCGAGCGCATTCTCCTCAAACAAATGGTCATGGAATACGTCCTCAAACTTGAAAATGACGTGGATCTGGAAAGCTTAATTATGTTACTTGGGGCGGGGTCATAGACAGACTGGTTTGACAAGATGTTTTTTGAAGCAACACGACGTGACGTGCGGCGCCTGCTGAACGCGCAAGAAGACGTTTAGCGGCGGCTTCTCGCTTTTCGCCTGGGTCGTGCCCACGGCGAAGCGACGCAAACGCCGAAGGTCAAATGCAGATCTAAGGTCCTATTTACTCACTTCCCTTGCGTTGTTGCTTCTTCCTGATTTACTTGCTTCCTTCCTTCCTTCCTTCCTTGCTTACATACCTGCCACGAGGGGGACATCCACGACTGGGAGATGCACTTTGAGAAGGGCAGGCCCAAAATCCACGCTCAGGTGTTCAGGTGAGGCAAGTGGCAAGTGGCCTGGAACCTGCGCCTTGCACACGCACGGGCACACACACAAAGACATGCAAGTGCAAGTGCTGCGCTGCTCGCAAGCTCTACCTCCAGCCCAAGGCAAAAATAAGTCGTCGGGCGCGAGTGCTCTCAGGCCGCTGCCTGCTTCGCCAGGCTCGACTCAGGCCTCTGCAGGCTCATGAACCTTGCCTCAAGGGAACCTTTGCCACAAACCCGAGCGAAGAAAAAAACCTGATATTACACAGGCAGGCGATTTTGGAGGAGACCCCAGGAGGCACTTCTTTTTGGGGTTTGGTTCCATTGTTGAAAAGCAACTCGCCAAACCGAAAGAGAAACAAGGTGGAATACATTCAACAATTGGATGATGTTTTAGAGGGAACCCTTAAACAATACAGGACAAACGACAAAGTCATGCCAAATGTCCTCAGTTATCTCTGTGCACATGTGTTCCTCCATGCAAATGCCGACTCCAGCTGCTAAGTCATGCGCCGGCAACAATCCAATGGAACGCTTGAACACAGGTGTCAACACTGAAGCCACCATGGAACGCCAATGATGCAAGAACCATGTTCAACCGCAATGCATCCAAGAATCCAATCCCACGCAGAGTTCCTATGCGTTCCGGGTGATAAACAACCATTTCTTCGAAACGTTGTAATCCCTGCAGCTGGTTGCAGCAATTCCCTGTAAACGATGTCCACTCAAGGGACCCAATATAAATTTAGGCTCGTCTCACCCTCGAGGCGGGTGGGGTTGAAGTCCCTCAATTGCCGCAAGTCTGCGCAAATCGCGATAACTACCAAGACCTGAAAGAAACCATCCCCAAGCAAAGCACCTTCATTATGGCGAGCTCGTCCAACGGAGCAAAACCAATCTTTCCTTTTGGAGGTTCAATTGGATATAATATTCAATGATTGCCAACAGATCGAAGGGGGATTTTGACTCGTTGACCTGCACGGATTGGTTGTGTTTGTGGTGTGGTTGGTCTGGTTGGCAAGCAGGGTGGCCCTTTGGAAAGAAGCGGACATAGAGCACAGCAACAGGACAAATTCCTAACGGGGTGCAAGTAGATGGCTCAATGCCTGCTGTGGGCTAGATGACTAAACGAACATGGGGGCATTGCGCCTCTTGGGGAAAAGGGAAACTTGTACTTACCCTCCCACCAACTAACATGGAACCTGGCAGGGGGGTCTTGGAAGACCATTCTCCTGTTGAAGGGACCCCCTGTCAGGTTCCATGTTAATGGATAGGAGGGTATACCCTGTGTAGTGCCTATATGTTTCCCCTGGGAGTAGCCATGATTAGAGTTAGACCCAGCTATAGAATGTATATTTTATTGTTTGCTTCACTTTGAGTCACTGGTAAATTGTAAAATGTATCCTACGTCTACCCCAGTAGTGGTTTGCCCCCGCTTCCCACCAGCGAACACGCCCAAGAGCCGCCTGCGCCTGGCCGGTGGCGCGAGCTCTGGCGGCGGCGGCAGGCGGGGGCGCGCCAACGCCTAGCCGAAGCTGCCGCCCTGTCGGCTCTAAGGGCAACACAAATCAATCAGAATGGCCTGACATGACCGATACTCCGCAGTGGTTGTGTATGCCGTTCGTAAATTGTAATGTTCATGTGTACGATAGTATGCATATGCATTTGTTTAAATGTTATTATTATATATAGTATTACATACATATCATATGTTTCACAGGCACACGTTGACAGTGCGTCTAGACACGTCCCTACAGGCCGCCTCATCCTCCAGCATAAAGGGCGAGGCGTCCGCATCCGAAAGCGAAGGAATTGAAACCTCCGGCGCACTCCGAAGGCGCCTGCGTGGGAAAGCGTGGGAAAGGACACCTGGATTTGGCATGGATATGGGTGGGGGGCTTTCTTTGGGGAACCCCAAAATGGGTGGTCCTTTTGGTTTCCTTTTAGAAACCAACCAAAAGAGGTGATTTTCATTTTGGCTTCCCGTTTAAAAACCAACCCAAAAGGAGTTCTCAAAAAAAAAGGCACACCTATATCCTCTTCCCGATTTGTCATTGTCGGCAGATCTCACCTGAGTCCAATTCGTTCTATCAACCATGAACACCCCTCACATGAACCTGTACCCGGAATCTGCAAAACATATGCCAACAGAAGCAATTCCCAGTTGACAGACACCCCTGCGCCCTTTTCCGCAACAACAAGTGCCAACCGGGTTTGAACATATTTTCGCCCACCCGCTCCCAACATTGGGACAACTCCTAAACGGATCTAAGACTCACTGCCAGAAGTGCGCAAGCAAAGTAACCAAACTGTTTGTTGGCGGCCAAAATGGTCTTCCACAAAAGAATGCAGTCCAGGAACTCAAACTCACCATGGGCTGGGAACAGGCGGCCTACCTTAGGCCGCCTCTAGCTTGCAAGGCACGGTTGGGGAAATAGCATGGGCGTTGGGATGGTTTTAAAGGGAAACCCAAAGGAAAACCACCATTTGTAGGGTCCACCTGTTTGGCTATTTGGGCGACCGAGTAGGAAGTTGTCTGGGCTCCAAAGTACCCGCTCGCAGCCGGCACGACAGCTCACGTGGTCAATGTACTGTGTTCTCTATGAGTGCCAGCAATGCACGAGATCCAACTGGAGGGTCCTCCGATAGTACCCATTGGGGTTGTCAAAACCATGGCCCCACTTCCTACCCTAGCGACGCCTTGTGCTGCCTTTTAAAGGGGCTTCCCAAAAGGGCCCACAAGTTTGACACCGCCCCACTGCCAGTTAGGAATACACTCTTGAATTGGTGCCCTTGTTAGCCTTATTCTGAGACCAAGCTACAAGAAAGTCCCCCCCCCCACTCCAAAGAAATCCAACACATGTCTGTCACGTATTGGACAGCCTCTACCCGTGTGGGAAGTGCGGCTCAACTAGGGCTGTCCTGCCGCCTGTTTTGGAATGAACTTGCCATGATAAAATGTTTGTAATTCCGTCGCCCCCTAATTTGAGGAATAAACATATTTCTTGTTTTGGAAGGGTACTCATCAACGCCTCCACAAGTGCTTTCGGCAGCATGTTACCATACATCTTCTCTCATTTCGTGTTCGCAGCCTCTCAAACCAGCTCAAACCTTTGGCTCAGCTTTTGATGGGCATTGCATCGACAAATGGCAGGCCAATACAACTGTGGCAGTGACGGCAAGCTGAACGAAGAATTCATCATGCAGCATGCGTGCGTGGCAGTCAGGCGAAACAATATGCCTTCCGCCTAGCCGAAGCAAGCGGCAAGACGCATTGTGTAACAATTGAGACAGTGCAGTCCGAAACTTTAGGATTGTTCAGCTGACCCTTCAAAACTGGCTCTTTCGCCTGAAACTCGATTCATCCAAGTAAATTTGAGCATTCAATACATCCCCAAAACGAGAACCTGGGACAACGTGAACAAAGGGAATGGGCCTGCCTGGAGTCTCCACGACCCTTTGAAAATAGGGTTATTATCCAAAATAATGGGGGCATGGACCCATGTTTAAAGGGTCGTGGAGACTCCAGGTGTGTGTTTTTTGAACGGGTGGTGCTCAGGGAATGACCAGGGTTTTGGGAATGAACCTGTCCCTTGAAAGAAACCTGAAATTCCAATTCTCATTCCCTGCCGATCGAACCAGTAAGTTTCAGGTTGTGTTCCAAGGGGAACCCAAAAGGAAACGGCCCCAACGCCGTTTGCTTTTTTTTCTCCCTCAGCCGCGCCTGCAGGCGAATCCCCAGCCGGCAAATGCCTCGTCTCCACGCAAAAGCCCAGAGTTGTTGCCACTAAAAAAATGGTCTTCCCAAAAAGCTGTTCGTCCAGAAACCTGGCAAGTGAGATGTTCGGCTCCAACTACCTGCCCTCCTAAACCCCCGCACCATGTTTCCGCACATATCAGATGCCTCTTTGGAGCATCAACTGTTGAGCATACCCCAAAGTAGTCGTTTCACAGGGAGCAAGGTGGGGCTCCCGCTCCCGCCACCCATGACTCTCAGCCCCACGCCGAGCGGAGCTGGACCTGCGCAAGTGAGCCATGTAATTGGGACAAAGAAATCTTGCGGGTGTGCCACCAGGGCTTTTTATACGCCAGGTACATGGTGGGAGGGTATGCATCTGGAGGTACGTGAAGGGCGTCACTGAATGCACTTCCAGATAGGTGTATTGGTTTAAGGGTACCCTTGTCGGGTCCCCCGATTTTGACGAGGTACTCCTGGAAGGAACACCTGGCGAATCGGGCTCCATTCATCACTGCTGGATGGTACAAAGCCACAGGCTCCTGTGGGCCTTTGACCTACGCTTCACGTATCGAAGCTGCCACTGCCTGAAATACGGTAAGATGCCCATTGAAATTGGCGACTTCGTGGTGGTACTATATCCCCCTCGCCCCGTTTGCTCCCGGGAGACAACCTGGGTGGCAATGGCAATGGATTGTCATGAGGTCCCCTTTGAAGAGACTTAAACGGATCTTGTTTCAACAGGTGTTTACGTACATCACGGTTTCAGCGGGGTTGCATCACCCCGTGGAACAGTTCCCGAGCCCCAGACCTACCCTTTGCCTGCTTCCACCAGGACACCGCGAGGGACAGCTGGGTACGCCCATGGATGATCTGGCAGAAGCATTCGGACCGTCCAGTCGGCGCTTCTTCGTGTTGCCAAAGTATGCCGTGTGCGATCCACGGGTCTGGTAAAAAATAAAAAATAAACCCGGATCGCCAGTTGCTGTGTTTTTTTTCTCCATGCACTTTACCCCAGAAACCAGCAACAGTGTCTGAAAAAAGTAGCAACTGGGCTATCTAGGAATGAACCCGTCCCCTTTGGGGGTTGCTTTGGGAAAGATAAACAGCCTAATCAGCACGATGGTCACAATCCCTGTGAGGCCTTGCCTCTTGATCCATTCGCTTGGCAGAAGCAAAGGGAGCCCCTTCCCAAACAGTTTCTACACGCATGGTCGTGGGAAGAGTGCCATCCCATTCCTAGCACTGCTTGCTTCTTTACAGGGGGAGTCCCTTGGTATCACGGAAAGTAGCCCTAAAACCAAGATTTCCACGATGGTGGATGAGCCTTTCCCAAAAATGGCGCTTCTTGTCGAACTATAGGGTGGTTTTAGTTTTACCACTGGTTGCCCTCTCGGTTTCCGTTTAAAAACAACCTACAATTGATGGCAAACCATACTAATTCGCTTGCTGGACTTGTCTGGTATTCAAACCGATGTCAAACGCAGCCGTCTTATGAGGAAGCAAGCAGGATGCTGGCCTATTTGTGTCCCCAAACTGTTGTGGCTCCCTCACGTTGAAAATTTCACAGGGCTTGCCTTTTCCACTGAAATGAACAGCCTCCCTTGATCTACACTACCATGCAGGCTGCTTATTTATTCCACAAGCAGTGGAAAGGCAAACCCTGGTGGCAAAATCCTTGAACATGTCATCCCATGCTGGGAACTGCGTGGTGACTGGCAAGGAAGCTGTAAAGCTCCAAAGTTTCATGCAGATGCAGCGATTCGGATCTCTTGGAAAATCAAGAGCGGGTTTTTCCTACCCAAATGCAAAAACAGCTTTTGGCATTCTGGCAATTCCCACGCCAAGTTGCTGACATACGTTTCGCTATTTGCTCTGTCTGCTGGATCCAATCCTTACGGCTGTGACCGCTGCCTCGTGTCGTGAGATTTGATGCGGGGGAACTCCAGTCGCAAGCGGTCGAAAGTCCCCAGTCGAAATATAATCCCGGGATCATTGGTGTCTGGTTGCGGGCACTTCGGTGCCCAAGGCAGTGACTGCCCAAAGGCAGTACCTCGAACAAAGCTTTGACTTTGAGGGCCCAAACGAAACCACTGCCACTCTAAGGGGAGTTTAAGGGGGATCCCTAAGGCTCAGCAGACTGCAGGAACCCTATGAAACATACTAGCCTGTTTGCCCACCCCGAGTCCCATCAAAAGAGCGTGCGAATGGGATTGTCGGGTACGTTGAAGCGAGAGGTTCACAAACCAATCGTGTGTGTGTGCGTGTGTAATTAATTAGACCCTTACAGCACCTCATCGCTGGGTGGTAACTATTGTCGTCCATGTCGTTCAGATCCGAATTGATTTTCTTAAAGCCGTTAAAGCGGGGGAAACATGTTGGCAATGCCTGGGACCAAACACCCCTAACCCTCGCCTGAAGCAGCCTCGCCCTCACCAGGTCTAGGCGCAAATGCAGCAAAGGCTGCTGCAGCCTAAGCCACACCCAGGTCAAAAGCTCCGCCAACTTCTGGTCTGCACCCACGCGACGTGAACAATTTTGAGCCTTTGCGGGGCTCGCTCCAAATTTGGAGACGTGGGTTCGGGTTCGGTGACAGCCCCTCCCCATAGCCCGACTTGGTCCATGACAAAGATTTTCAAGGACCTGCATGGTGAGCTTGTCTTACCCCAGAGCTTGTCAAGCTGATTTCAACCCAAAACCGGCGAGCTCACCGAAGTTGGCGGAATTGGTCTGTCTCGAAAATCCGAATTCCCTTTTTGGTGTCCCTTTAACCCAATGGACCAACCCAAAACCAAAAGACAAGCCTTTTTCACTTCCCGAGTTGGTGGGCCAAAGAAAAGTCCGAACTTTTGATTTCCCACCGACATGGTCCCAAAAACTTTAGAGTTCAAGGACTCAGGAGCCTTAGGCCCTCCCCCCACCCGATCTCAACAAGAGGCTGCCGGAACCCCGCGCGCAACGCCGAGCCGGCAACGGCGGCCTGGGCGGGGAGGGCAAGCCGCCAGCTGCGTTTGCAGCTACCCTTCCTCCCACTAAGGCATTTGAGCCATCAAAACCCGGTACTAAAACGATCTGCCCAGAACCATGTAAAGGCTTGAGAAGGCGGCCCCATCCATTTATGGTTGGGATTGCCCCTTGCTACCCTTCATCCACCCGGATGTTGATTGTCTCTCAATTGTGGGAGGGTGCATGGAAGATCAGTTTCCTCTTGGGACCGGGTTCCTGTGAGGTGCCATGTTCGTGGGAGAGAGGGTAGGTGTTGTCTATGAATGCATTGTCGGCGTGAGATCCTATTGGACGATCCTCCAAGATGAACAACACTTGGAAGAAAACCATACGGGCTGTCAAACATATAGCCCCCAGCGCCGGTGTCGGCGTATTCTGACACCATCCCACTGCCGTTTGGGAATATTGCCTTGCAAGCCTTGCTCTAAGAGCAAGCTAAAGGCAAGTCCCCTCAACTCCAAATGCTGGAATTTCGCTTTGCTCACCGCAGCGCCATCCAACGCATGTCTGTCGCCTCTGCCTGTGTGGGAAGTCCGGTCCTGCCACTTGTTTTGGAACGGGGTTGTCACACTAAGATATGCGAAGGGTACAACTCAAAAAAATATGTCATTGTCTATGAATTATAACTGAGTCATGCTTGCAATTCTTTAGCTCTTTGTTTTGCAGAACAAAGCTATATACCTCCTTCTTTTCTTCCGGGAAGGGGGAGCACACTTTTTGTCCAATAAGGTTGTGCAAATGGACCAGCCCTGAGCTTAACCAATTGGACGCCAGCAGCCATCTCCAAGCTGCCGGCAAACTTTGCGGCTTCGAGAAACGCTCACCTTTTGCACCGCAAGCGCGAAGGGCTGTTGCTGGTGGCTGCCTCCTCCTTAAACGGGGACACGGGTGAGACTTCGCCAGGTGCTTTTGACTGGGCTGGGCTGCTCAAAATGGGGGCACCCCTTCTCCTAATCCATACAACACCAAAACAAAAACAAGGCAAACCACCACAATACCTGGCATAAGGATTCCGGCGTGATTTTGAACAACCCAGATTTTGTTCGGCACAAGCCGACAGGGGCAAGGGGTGCCAAATGGCACCAATCTGGGGGTACTGCCAGAGCAAGCACAGAATAAACATATGGCGCATGTCCAAGGCGGGTGATGCCGACATGAGTAGCATCCAATCAGCTCCCGCATAATATTATAGCTATTACCTGCCTTGGACATGCACCACACTCACGCACATACGTTAAGTGCGAAACATCCTCGGTTCGCGACATACGGGAAGGGTTCTTAGAAGCCTTCGTTTCTCCATGCAAGGCTGCTTTCAACACATCCTTTTGGACCAAAGCCTGGTTGTTTAAGCACAAGTCGCCAACCCGTTCTAAGAAGAGTTCTAAGAACCGTTTTGGGACGGGGATTATCTGATTATCTGCAAGGAGTTGATCTGCTCGTGCGCTCCTGGAGGTCGTTCAGGCTGCAGCTTCAGCGTGGACACGCGTGTAAGGGTTTGGCAGACATGCTGACACTTTAGGAGGCGTTTTGGCATAACATGTCCAGCAAGGTAGTCTTACGACTGCCTTCTGCCAGGGGATACAGCATGGGTTCGTACATTCAGCTTGACGTCTAAAGTCTAAAGATGGATTTCCGCCATCTGGCGCTAAGTTGTCCTCAGCAGACACACCCCGCGGGCCCTCCGGACCAAGACCGCCCAGCTTGAGCGGTCTTGGTCCGAAAGGCCCATAGGTTGCCTTGATTCGTGAATCTCTTGCTAAAAGTTGTTTTGCCGGATATCGAACCCCCCGAAGATCTGAAAGTCCAAAAGTCGAAGGGTGCGGCTGGAAACCGCCGAGTTGCGGATGTCGATGTCCTGAAGCTTTGTCAGGTTGCCCTTCGATTCCGCGCCTTATTTTGCATCTTCTCGTGAATTTCTTTGCGGTCGTCAAATTCTTCCTGCGCTTTTGTAAGCGCCAGCGGCTGGGCCAGGATCTCAACAGGTTCCTCAGCTGGAACTGGCTCAACTCGACTTTACTCTGCGCATTTGCCCGCGCTCCAGCACGCGTCAGGGGCAGCCCGCAGCATGCTGCGTGGTCATTTCGCTCATAGACTTGAACAATCATGCCTTCATGCAATTGTCACTAGCGGCATACTCGGCAAGCAACTTATGGTCTCGTCTACAGAGCTTGCAGTGTGACAAAGCATCAACCTAAAAGGAACACCTACATAAGCCAATGAATTAACCTAGGGTTTCACACCTCCTGTTTGAGAAGGGCACCCGTAGGAAGACCGGGCCCCTCTTTGCGGCTCCCCTGTTCTGAGACAACCCCACAAGAGCACGAGCCGCACTCAAAACATAATGAACAGACGAAAAAGATCGAGTCCCTTGTTGTGTGGGCCAAGGTACAATTAAGCCCCCCCCAAGTGCCACTCTACAACATAGTGTGAATGGACAACATCCATTTCACACCAGGTGTCTTGTCCCATTATCTATAGGGTTTCATATATGTCCCAAGCGGTGCCAACTGGATTTCGTCCACATTGACCGGCGCTTTGGTCCATTTTCCCCGTCCCAGCGGCCGGCCCCTTCCCCAAGTGCAAAACCGGCCGAGCGCCGAGCGCCGAGCACCGAGGTCCGCGCCAGGAGTTGCGGCAGCCAGAGCCGGCGCCCCAGCCGCCGGCGCCGGCCCCTCAGCCGCCAGAGGCGCAAAGCCAGGGACAGCCTGCGCTCCGCGGATCCGCGCGAAGTCCGCTCGGACGTTTTTCGGCGTCGGCCAGTCGAGTGGCTCCTCAAAATGCTTTGGACTTCTGAGAGAAAACCAGAGGAAAAAAAGGAGGAAACCAATCATATAGAAGACCAATATTTGAGGAACCTGCTTTCAAGATTTGAGAAACCTGCTTTCAAGGGTTGCGCTAAAGCCCCTGCAAGAAAAACGGGGAGATGAGTAAGTGCACCTTCGCAACAACAGCTCCACCAGGAACCCGATCCACCAACTACTTCTTACCCTCCAAAATCCTATCCAACAACTCCACGGAACCTCCAGACCTTCCGGACCCTTTCAGAAATCTGCGGAATCTACAAGCCGCTCCATAACCTTCCGGTACTCTCCATAACTTTAAGGCTCAGTGCAGCTCACGCCGCGCGCGGAAATGAAGGATGGCGTCAAAAGCTGGCCTGTTGTTTGTTTTTTCGGGGCTCGGCTTTCTCCAAAACAGCCAAAAAGGCTGTTCTGAGCTTTAAAAAAGACACCCTACAGCTCCGCCTCTGCCGCCGCTCGCAGTGCCGCTTTGGGCGCTGCGACAAGGCCTGCGGCGAATGCCGTCCAGCTGGGCTCGAGTGGGAAAACCAGTTTGGGCTGGGAAGCCCCATGAAACCACCATCTAGAAAACGGCAAATCTGTGGATCCACCCCTCTAGGATATTAAAAGCGTTCTAAAAGATAACCAAAGAACCAACAGGGGATAAACCGGGCGAGATCCGCGAAAAGCGCATCCAAACCGTTTTCTTAACAAAATGTCTGTTTGAAGGCGTCGCCATGATACGTGCTCAAGTTCAACAGGTCTTCCCGTGAGACCTATAAACAGATTCCTTTCACACTGGCATGTCTTGCGAGAGTGATAGGACAAACCCGGCCTCCAGCAGCTTCCCCGTTCATCAAAGTCGCCCAAGTGGGACAAAGGGAATCAGGACCGAGCCCGAGCCCATTGACGGGGATTTGTATGGGAGCTCCTTTGCTTCATTGATTGCTGGGAGAGCCTTTTTGGGGTTTGGGGCAAAGGGAAAATACAAGGAAACAGTTCCGTTTCTGAGAGTTATGTTTTTGCTTCTTTGTGTTCGTTCTCTTTACCCATCCCTGTTTCGATGCATTTCCCTGGCACCTTCTGAATACAAGGCTCCCTGAACCGAATGGAACATGAGGTTGTTGCTAATCTCGTTGCACTTGCTTTGTCCACAAGGTAGAGACAAACTCATGCGTGTTTGCGTGTTCAAACCATTTTATATACTGTTGGTTGCACGCTTTCGCACTATCGCTTCTGAAGATTCTTTTATCCCTTTGCAGTTTTACAGCATGTCGTTCTTGTGGTACGTGAAAATATGAGAATCGCAACCTTCTAATACAAGCACAGCACACGAATCTCACTCCGTAGCTGCAGATCGGATATCGCAACCTTTCACGACAAGTACAGTAGATGGAGGACACTTTGCTGCAGCTCAGCCTGTCTGCATGCTACCCAAGCGGTGTTTTACCTGGTGACGAGGCTGCTTCCCATGATTCGTGGCCCCTTTTTGAACATCGCCCCCAACTAGCCGATAGCTTTTTGGAATGTCCATACCTCTGAAAGAAGAATGGTCCCTGTCCCTTTAAACCAGGGGGGGTCCCTGTTGTCCCCATGAGCCCAGACGGGGGTTTGCCACGGATGGGCCTTGGCGCGCCATCGCATGAAGGGCACGCTCGCGAGGCGCAGCTCGAAGTAGCGCCTCAGGGCCAACCATGGGGCTGGGGGTGGGCGATATCCATTTCGCACCACTTGGGAGATGGGGGTCGATCAATCTTCCGTTAAAGGCCCCCAAAGTGACGATGGGTCTAACTTGTCAATTTTGTGGTTGAAATATCGTCTTAGTGATTTTCCAATGGTCATCCTATGTCAAGGACCCTAAAAGCAATGGGATAAACCACCTACCAACTGGTGCGAAATGGATTTTGCCCATCCCACAGTATGTTGAAGGTAAGCTGAAAAGGAAAAACCCAACAGTTCGAATGGGAACGCTGCCCATTCCCTGCGCATGCAAGCTAGAACCAGTGGACCCAAATGGAGCCTTGCAGGAGTGGATGGGAGCCTTCAGGCGGGGTACTCGCCTACTTCGCCTCAAATTTATTGAGGGAACCTCAAGGCGGCCAAACAGACCGAAGCCCCGCCCCGCCTCGCCAGGGAGATGCGCTGGGAGATCGAGCTGCTTGAGACCCTGGGACCCACCGATCCCGCCCAAGGCCGCCGGTTTTCTTGGTGCGATAGGCAGGGAATGAGTTGGAATGACCCCTATACAAGATCCCTTGTGGTTTCCTGTAAGGTGAATCCCTACACCCTGGGTCATTCCCTGAGCACCAGCAAGCGAGGCACATTTTGAGGTACCAAGACTCTTGGACTAAGCCCATTTGATCCAAGGCAAGTCTCTCGAATAGGTAACCAGGCGTTCTGCTTTTGGTGCTTGAAGCTTGGTTCTCTTGGTTGCCTACTATGTATATAGGCAAATGGAATCACTGGGGAGTAGGTTCTCATCATGGTGATAACTGGGGCAACTGGGATTGGCCCCCTTATGACCATTGTTATAGTCTCTGACTAAGTGGGTAAGTTGCACATCCAAGTAGGCCTCTCCCTGTCTCTATCTCTCTCTCTCTCTCGCTTTCTCTTGAGGCTCGGAACGCGTTGTGGGGTTGCGTAAGGGAAAAACTAAGGAAAGCCGCCAATTTTCTTGTAGCTTCCCCGATTTCTTGAGACATGCTTGTATCAAAACAAGGCAACCCTGTCTCCGCCTGTTGAAAGGAACGCCACGCTGAAATCTGCCCCCGCACCGTGCCTCGCGCTTGGCTCAGCCTTCGCCTGGCAAGGAGGATTGCACGATGCGGGCCGACATCTCAACTTGCCAAACACCTGGGCACACAGTAGCGCTTGCACAGGTGCGAGGTCTCAAAACATAATCACTTGGGGAAATCAAAAGGACGTGGAGAAGACATCTGGAGACTGGAGGGACCCCTGATCGCGAGGAGGACTTGCTTGCCAGGGGGAGGGGTCAGGGATCCTGTAGGAAACAGCCACCCGATCGCCGCGAAGGAAAGTGTGCAAGTCAGTCGGATCTGATGCAGATTCTTAGCTTCCTGCTTTCTTTCACGCACCAAACAGGACAACCTAGTTGCTACACTACTCTTTTAAATACCATTTTTGAAGGGACCGGGTCGAAGCGTGTGTTGATGTCGAAAACTCCAACTTGATGACAATCTACGCCCTGGTTCCCATTTGCGCAAGCCGAAACTCATGGTTCGCCCAACGGGATCTCTACGTTTGTCGTCTAAATTACTTCTCCAGGGGCTGATGACCAGAAATATTGTGGATGGACGAAATCCTGCACCACCTAAGCAACCCTCCAAATACCAACAAACCACGGTTTCCTCTATGGTTTCTGGGGTGTTGCAGGTTTTTGTCCATCCACAGTACCAAAAGGGTGTGTTGACCATGGCACAGTTGACTGCAACAGCAGCTCGGCCCCTTCTCTGGTTGCGCCAGAGCTACCGGGGGGAAGGGGGGGGATTGGGGGGTTCCCCAGTTGGGACATTGGCTATTCTTCGACACTACACCCAGGATGTTAATCTTGTCAATCTCGTCTGTCAGCACTTGAGTCAAGGGCAAAGATGGCAAGCTTTAACTCAGAACTCCTGCCAACATGAAAGCCATGTTCAAAGTACCCCACAAGTTGATGTTTTAAGTTCACACATGAGCCATACATGATCAATGATCCATAAATGACCCGTTTGGGGTAGATCACCCAAAAAGGGCGAACATAAGCCCCTTCTTTCAATCAGCCGCTCCCCGGCCTGGCTGGCGTATATAACCGCCCTTTCCTCTTCCTTTGGAGCCTGTGGAGAGACTGTTGCGTAGCCCGCCCATCCCAGGAAAGGGTGCGTGCACACGTGCGCCTCTGATCACACGTTCTGAACGAAGGCTTCTGAAAGACTATTTGGAGGGCGTGGACATGTGGGTGTGGCTGAAGTTCAAGAGCTAGGGTTACGCAGGTTTTAGTCTTTGCTTCCATTTACCAAGGTGCCATTTTAGCACATGGTTTTGAGCCACAGCCATTGCCCACTGTGATTCTGATGGAAGGGGAGGCTCCCTAGCCTCGCCTGAAAGGACACATCGGGTGCGGTCTCCAGCGTCCGGAATTGTGCCACCTCGCGCGAGCTGTGCTCGTTTCGGCCACCAACATATAGAGACTGTTCACGTATTGCTTAGAATGGGGCTGTGGAATACTGCTAAAGCAAATTATCATGTTGGAGAATGCTTTGTATTGATTTGTAACAACTGACCGCCAAAACTATATTGGGCTTCTGAAACCGCACAAGACAGCCTTGTTTTTGCAGCCAGGGGCTTTAAGCACCAGGATCACCCCATGACCTCCTGTTCAGCCGCGTTTGAGTCCCCAATTACTGTCCAAGCCGCATCCCTTAGCAGTTCAGAACACAGGGGCAAAGCAAACCCAAATCGCAGACGTTTCGCCCGTCCGGTTCGAGAAAGGAACCGCTCAAGGTCGGTTGTCCTTCCTGTCAGCCAACCTCCCACTCCCCACCAATGCCACCCACAACCGCTCCTCCCCTCCCCCTGGTTCCCTGCCGCTTTTTTGTGCCCCTGTTTCGCCCACCTTGTTTGGAACCAGGCTGGCACACCTCCAAAAGGAATTCCAGTCCAATACCTTCCGTTCACTGTTGCATAAGGTCGCCTTAAATGCAGACTCGCGGAACTTTGTTAGCTTAGTTGTGGCTTTTCTTGAGGGGTCCCGGGTCCGCAGGCGCGTTTGCCTCGAAGTAGGGGGACCTATCTCCCCATTTCAAACCCGCAGTCCTTTGGCTTCTGCCCGAAACAACGAAACAACCCCAAAGAGGATGCCACCTGAAGACAAGCAATGCCCAAGGCTGTGGAAACATCCTGCGCCATTCAAGATGGATGAAACCCGCAGTGTCTCTCCCGAAGGACACCCTGTCTTTCCCCCACCCCTTTATGGTTTTGATTGATTTTGCCACCTCCTCCCTGGCAGGGGTTGTCCAACTTGGGTGTGGGTCAAAAATATGTACTCTGAATGGATTGCCCTGGTAAATTGAAACAAAGAGGAAACCCGTGGTCCCCTTGTGGCTTAATTTTGACTCATACCCATGTGGGTGCGTTCATGTGTTCAGGGGGAAGCAGGTCCTTTCTGGCGACGGCAACCATCTAACACGCTGTCTAACTATTTGTTGTCTGCTGGCAAATGGGACTCGAAGCCTCCATGCTCCCCCCGCTCCCCCGCACCGCCACGCTGGAGAAGCCAGAGATGGAGGACAGCGTGTCGCCGTCCTGGCGAGGTTCCGCCGGGGCTTGGGGCGGACCGTGGGGCAGTGGTGTCTGATTGTTTTCAGGCTAGGTCCTCCAGTAGAGAGGATAGAATAAGGGTACCCGTTTTTTTCCGTAGTCTTTTTTAGTAGTGTTACACCCGCTTTAATGAAAGTCGCCGCTATTGTAAAAAATAATTTTGCAATTCAGGATCCTGAGACTGTTTTAGGGGTCCGCTATTGTTGCAAGTTCTTTTCTTCTCCCCAAAAAATATTTTAAACAAAGCACAGGCTTGTTTGATTGAAACTGGGCTCAAGCTAGACTAAGCCTTGGCTGATGTTGAGCCGGAGGCTGGTTCTGAGCTAGCCTGAGGTCTAGGAAATCCATTTTGCAAGTTGTGCCCAAACCATCAAATTTATGATAACTTCTTTACAAAAAAAAAGGTGAATCAATCACACAAAGGGGGTTGCCCACAACCAACCCTGACCCTCTTTCGTGTGATTGTTTTGGGGTCCTCTTTAGTGTTCAACTGGTTTTGGGGGGTTCCTGAAATTCCCAAACCAAAGCCTGAGCCTTTTACTTTTAAGGGTGGCTCATCCTAAGCTCTCCCCAGCCCAAAGGTAAAAGGCCCGAGGTCTAGGAAATCCATTTTGCAAGTTGTGCCCAAACCATGAAATTTATGATAACTTCTTTACAAAAAAGCAAGGTGAATCAATCACACAAAGGGGGTTGCCCACAACCAACCCTGATCCTCCTTAGTGTGATTGTTTTGGGGCCCGCTTTAGTGTTCAACTGGTTTTGGGAGCAAATCTCAAAAGGAAGCTCTACCAATACTAAATCAATTTGAAACTCAGTTCCAAGTCTCAAAAGGAAGCTCCATCAATACTAAATCAACTGGAAACTCAGTTCCAAAATCTCAAAAGGAAGCTCCGGCAATACTAAATCAAATGGAAACTCAATTCCAGATCTCAAAAAGGAAGCTCCAAGCAATACTAAATCAAATGGAAACTCAGTTCCAGATCTCAAAAGGAAGCTCCAGCAATACTAAATCAAATGGAAACTCAAGTCTACCAATGCTAAATCAATTTGAAAGTGCCACCCAGACCCCCAGGGTTTGCCTAAACAGGGTCCCGCTGACTGGTTCCATGGTTCGGGGGGGGGGGGGATCATATTAAAGCAGGTCCAACATTAGGGGAACCCTCCCCCAAAAAAGGGTAAAAGGGCACTACTGGGGGACCTAGGAGAGCATTTGTGCAACACCAAAACGAGTACCTTGGACAAAGAGACGCTTTGTGTGCGGCCCCCTGTTTGGTCGCCCCGTCCAAGGCGCGACATGCTGCGGTCCTTGACAGCTTCAATAAGGGGTTCGTAGTTCTTGCCACTTCTCAGCTTCAACAACAAGCAACTAGAGAGTGTAAAGAAGGGGTCAAAAGCAAAGAGCAGAATGCGAATTTGGCTAACAAACGATAAAGGCATAAGTTGTAACAAAAAATATATATAGTGAACCTCCGCGTTTGCCCACAACCAAACACAGTCTGTTTATTCTTATGGTCCATCACACCGTGTTTTTGCTCACCAATCGTTCCCGTGGCACAACCCCCTCCCACGCCCCCCCCAAAAAAAAAAACGAACAGAAAAGAAGAAAAAAACAGCTCCTGCACAAATGGCGGAGGCCAGGGCAGCACCCATTGCTCCGCGCCTGGGCCCAGTCGCGCTTGGTCTCGCCGGAACTGTGGATGGACGAAATCCATTTCGCACCACCTAAGCCCTGCAATGTTCTGATTCCCTGTAAATACCAACAAACAGCGGTTTTTTTATATGGATTCTTAGGTGGTTCCAGGATTTCGCCCATCCACAGTATGCGTTGACTTGGTTTCAAAGTGCCACAGTCCCATCATCCTTCTGGCTGGTTTTTGGTGGGTAGCCTATGGCAAGTCACAAAGTGGTCCCGTTGGAACTGGCGCCTGGCGCCGGTCGTCTGACCCAGTCATCCAACGACCCTCGGACTTCAGGGTGACCTTGGAAGGGCCATTTTGTAGGTAGAAGCCATGTGACTTGCAAGAACTCAGCCTGCAATAAGAAATGGACAAAGAAAACAACTCAAACCTGCATGGCTTCTGGCCCCTGTTAGGGGATCCCCAAATAAGGGATCTTTGTCATGGTGAGCTCGTTATACCCCCACCTGAGCTCTCCAGAGGGTATGGGTCCTTTCAACCGTCACGCTCTAATAGTGTTTTTGTGTGTCTCACATTACCCGAATCCTTCACTTCCGGGGACTGAACAAAACACCCCCCTCGCTGTAAATCTGCGAGGGTCTACCCAAGATGCGATGTGCCGAGGCATCTTTCTACGTCCCTCAAAAAAGGGGGCTGTGCACTTCTGTGTTTGTTAGACTTGTATCCTCAAAACCAAACCCAAACATGTTGGCCAACTCTTAGTTTGCCCCCATGTGTTCGCTCCGAAAACCCGATTGCCACAAGGGTACACATTTGGCCCCTGGTGAGGGCAAACCAAAGGAACCGGTGAGTTCCTTTTGACCCGGGTAAGGCCTAAATGATTAGAATGAGGTTGGGTACCATAAATTTCAAAGTTGAGTCAGGACCCTAAGGAAAGAATGGTCCCCTTATCCTGCCCCGGTGATATTTTTCACTTGTTTTGCCCTTCTCCCGCGAGTGCTACCCTGACCCACCCACCCACCCACCCCCCTTCGGCACTTGTCTCGCACCAGGCGTGAGGCCCGGGCGGTAGGACCATGCCATTCCTCGCGGCTTCGCGCGCCTGGCAAAGGCGGCAGAAACGCCTTTGGGGTGGGTTCTGCAAGCTTCATCCCAGGACAGAACTTTCGAGGCTTTTAAAATGACTACGATGTCTCAAACAATTTCATATCAAATACATTTAGACCGCCCCCTGAATCAGCTGGTAGTCGGGTGAATTGTTGGCCCAAGCCGGCAACCTCGAAGGATGGAAGTCTGCGCAGCCAGCCTGAAGGCGGCGCTGCCATCATTTTCGGCGTCTAAAGGGAGGCTGTCATGGATGCCCCTTGTCCTAGGGTCAGTGCCTGGCAGGGTTCCGGGTTCCTTTCATGTCCCACTTATAAACGTGAGCCCAACAGGAAACTCATTTCAAGATCACCCGAAAGGTGAAGTTGGGCATGACATTTGACTTCGCTGGTAATTCATGTCCGGTGGTTCCATGAGACCTGCCTTCAGCTCTCGAGGAGCAATGGCCAAACTGATCCCTGCAACAAGCCGCCTTACCAAAGAAAGGGACGAATGAAGGAAGCCCCAAAGGAGCAAAAAGTGCTTTTTGGTCGTTTGGGCAAGCTGAGTCTGGCAATGAGCACTGGCTGGCTATACTCCATCAGGAAAGGCCCTTCAAAGAGCTTGCCACAACTCAGAGTGATAAGTGATTCAGTTGCCTGTTTGCACTGGGGTGCCACTATCGCTGGGTCAAGTTGTACGTGGCTGATGTGAGGTAGGTGATGACTCGTCGAGGAAATGAGCAACGCTCTCGTTCTGCCGTGCATAATGAATTCCACAGCTGCGGATGAGCAATAGGCTTCTCCAAAATGGTAGACCCCCAAAATAGGGGGCGGGTCCTCAGGCGTCCATTTAAAGCAACCCAATATCTCATACAAAGCCTCAAAAGCAAAAGAGACAAACCCGTTTGGACCTATCAGCCAAGCCGAGCAGCGCTTGCTCTCATACACCTTGCATTGTGCAACCCCGTCTATCGGACCCCAAACACTAACACTCACCACAACTAGAAGACCTTTTTAGTAGTGGCTGGTCCAAATGTTCATCACCCACTGGTGGGCGGGGGCAGGGTCCAACCTATCCTGAGCAACAAACCTGCTAAAACCGTTTTTCAAACCAACCAAGAATATGGGCATGTGTCAAAGCAAGCCACCCCCCATCAAACACTTTGCGTGGATTTCAAGAAGCCAAACAAGTTGCGTGGTCAGCGTTTCGACAAGCCTCACTCAAGGGTCCCATATGGTTGGGTGCTGAGAGAGAGAGAGAGAGCGAGAGAGAGAGAGAGAGAGCAACCAGAAGGAAACCGTGTTCAGGGGTCATATATGGTTGTAATCATACGGAGTCAAATCGGGCAACCAGCCTTCGGTGTCCGCTAAGATAACGACACTATTTCAGAGGTTGTCCCAACAAAAGGGATCCACGGCGACTTTTGGAGCTTCCCAGAACCCAAAAACCACCCTGACGAGTTATCATGGAAGCCGTGAATTATCAAAAGGCCTTGCCAAAAGAGGGGCTGGGAATGGCTGTTGGCTCACTCCGGCTTGCTGAAGCGCTCGTTCACGTCGTCCAGCAACGCGCTAACCTGCCGTTCTCGAACCGAGCTTTGATGAAGAACCACAATGGGGACCGACCCTGAAAGTGCGTTGTATCCTGGTGGGTTTAAAGGGAAACCTAAAGCTCCCCCCCAATTTTGAAGCAAATCTTGGTGGCCCAAAATGAGATTTTATTGGCTAAAAAGGAAAATATGGGTGTCTTTTTCAGGGGACCCCCAAGATGCTTGGTTTCCTTTTGGTGTCCCTTCACAACAAAAAGGCGTGCCCTCAAAACAAAAGGAGCCACCCATATAGGGAGCGCTGTCACGCGGCCGGACCAACTTTCCAGTTGCGACCAGTGACGCGCATCAGAGCCACTTGTTTGGTGGGGGACCCACAAGGAACCATTCCTTGGAGTTGATTCTGAATTTGTGGCGAAGGGAACCCACCAAACCAAAATTGTCTCAGAGGGAAACCTCCCAAAATGGCTGGCTTGCGCTTGGTGTCCATCAAAGAATTCCAAAAGGGTACGCACAACAAAGTGACACCCGTATGTTGAACGTGGCCATTGAAAATGAACTATAGGCAACGCCATTTACACGGTTGGCTTCTTTTCAATTTCCACAGACACAATCCATCAATCCAAGAAATCATCCATCCCTCGATTTCCATACCTACATGCGTTTGTTCCAACCACGCTGTCTGCATAGTGGTGCATCGGAAACAATTGCGGGGACACAAAGGGCCAATGAAGGACAGCAAGGCGCATCCTATTTGGAAATCAAGGGAAGACAACCATTTTGGGGGTCATTTAGAGATCCACCCATTGGGAGTTGTGGATTCCTTGCCGACACATGGCCGCCCATGTTGTGACGGCCCCACTACAGCTCTTTGTACCAATCCGGCGAGGCTGTAACGCACATGCGCCAGATCTTGTGGCTGGCGCGGTCATAAGTGCCCGGAGGCTTAAAATGAAACGATCCTGACCAGAGCAGCCAGGAGACGGGATTCCACGCTGAATCCTCAAAGTGGGCTTCCGAATTCCAGAATGAAGCCGATGAAAACTTGAGATCAACACCGTGCCAACACCTTGTTCAACCTCGAAATATCCAAGCTCCAAACTCCAGCGCTGGGTTTGTCAGAGGCTCATCCACTTGGTTGACGTTGGAAGGGGAGCAAAAGTTCAAATTTTAGCAGTTAAGTGATTAGATTTCAACCACTAAACCACAATAAGCAAATATGTGTCAAATGTTTCCCAACAACACATGATCAGAGTGAGGCCCAGTTATAGAATGTATATGGTATTCTTTGCTTCACTTTGAGTCACTGGACAAAAATGTAAAATGTATCCTAAGTCTACCCCAGAACAACCATGTCCAAGAAATAGGCTTCTTCCGTAGCGCCCTCTCAGTGTCTGCTGGCCCTGCCCAGCACCACCGCCAGCAGCGCCAGGCCGGACGCCAGCACTCCGCCCACCGCGGCGCCGGCCAAGAAGTCGCCGTTGAGCCTGCGGCTCAAAACGTGGTGCCACAGATGGGGAATGTGGTTGACATTGGTGTCCTTTGAGGGGAAGTAGATGGATTTCTCTGGTAGATGATAAAACCACCAGGTAAACCAGGGCAATCTATTTTTTTGTTTTACCAAAACAACCAAAAAGGACACCTATGGTGGTTGAATGAACCCAGGCTTTGAAACCAGGAAAGATAGTTTTTTGGGGGCAGTTTTTTTGGGGTCGTCCCCAACACAAAACCTGCGATCGGTGCGACAGGTAGGGAATGGTTGAATAAACCCAGAGGACATGGGCGTGCGTGTTTTTGGAAGGTGCCTTTTCAACTCGGCACCAGTAGGGAATGACCAGGGTTTTGGAAATGAACCCAGGCGTTGGTCCCCGAAGGAAATGTGTATAGGGGTCATTCCAATTCGCATTCCCAGCTGAGAATCAGCAAGAAAAATGCGAGGCTCATTCTCACTTCCGATCGAGTAAACGATCGCCCAGCAAGTAACCAAGCTTTTTGTGCACTAAAATGGCCCAAACCCAAAAAGTGACTAGAGTCCTTAACAACTCAGGAAGTGAGCATTGGCGGGGGGTTTTAACTAGGGACCCTTTGGACAGAATATGACATAATTCAGTGGAGCTTGCAGAGTTTTGAGGTTCCAACTCTTGAGATTTCTAGTCATTCCAGCGCCCGTGACTCATTGACTTTTGGTTCTATCGATAAACAGATTCATGTTGGCCTTGCTAATCCAGCTAGCATGGCCTTGGACTGCTCATTGGCTCATCCTTCACAGGCAGCCTTTGAATCCGGAGCTTCTGGATTTCAGCGAAACACTGCTAGGTCCTCCAGTAGAGAGGGTAGAATCAGGGTACCCTTTTTTGTGTAGTCGATTTTAGTAGGGCCCCCAAAAAGAGGTAAAAGGGCACTACTGGGAGACATGGACTGGCTGATCCTTTATTTACCAGTACCCAACTGCGCCTGCAGGCCACCCTCGATCCCTCCAACATCCACTTGCCGGAACATCCACGCGCCAGCCAAATTCCTCTGACCCCTACCGAACTTCGCAATGCTCTCCGCAGTGCTAGCCTTGTCACCCGGCACCTGCGGCCCCTCACAAAGAGTCTTCTATACTTAAGTTGTGACCTGGGCGTGTCTAAAAATAAAGACCGCCGCCTAAAAAAGAAACACATCTCAACACATGCTCCCCCTTGGCATCCTTTTGATATCCGCCAAAAAAAACAACATATTCCCTCTTGCCGTCCCTTTAAAGCCACCCGCAAGGAATTTTTCCCCCTCCCTTGTGTGGAGCCAACTTAGGTCGGACCTGCACCCCCCTGTCCTGGACTTCGGCTTGAGGTAGGGCGGCAGCTGCGCTTTGATCTGTGCGAGGGATGTGCAGCGTTTGACAGGGGCCCGCTTAAATATCGCCCCAAAAGGGAACCCGCGTCGAAGGGTCAATCTAACCATTCCGTAACCTGAGACATGGGAATTGGTTTTCTAGTTGTCAAAGCCCAATAGCAGGATCCATGACCATCCTGAAAACCGCCCGAGAGTAAGGCTTCACACATGCAGGTCCATGCGCGGAACAACTCGCTTCCACAGAACCACAAACAGAACCCACCCTTCCACCGCCCAACAAAGCCAAACCAAGACATGCACTATCTCCCCGCTCCCATCCCCTGAACCCCCTCGCGCGACGCCTCGCCTGGTCGCCGTTCCGCTCCTGGCCCCAGCCACCAAAGGTCACGAACTCCTGGCGAATTCGAGGCCCGAGAATTCCAGGCCCGAACCGACCCGCAGCGAGTTCCGGTGAGTTCCGTGTGGCCGTGGATGTCAAAATCCCGGTTACCCCCCAGTGAACATCCCAATCCCAACTACAATCCCGACTAAAATGGATGGTGCACCCACCCCAAAATGGAATCATTAGTTTTGACCCACAGCCATATGGGTGTGTTTATGTGTTTAGGGCAAGCGGCTCCCTTCCAACTACGGCAATCATCCAACATGCCAACGGTTGCAACCCCCTAAAGGGACTTACCACATGAGTCATAATCAAAACCCGGTACTAAAATGGTCGACCCAGAACCATGTACAGAATTAAGAAGGCGTCCGCAGCTATTTATGGTTGGGATTGTCACTTACTAACCTTCATCTACCCGGGTTTTGATTGTGGCTCACATGAAACTCACCACCAGGGTGGGGCGATGCAACCTCCTTTCCAAGGGCCGTCTGGTTCTTTGAACTGATGTTGATTCGAGCATCCTCCCAATGTGCCAAGCGCTCCTCCCACGGTCTCCAATAGGAAGATGGACATAAATCCAATAGTCATGGACCCTACTGGTCCTTAGTGGCGCCCCAAAGTCGGTCCCTAGCCGTTGCCAGGCAGGCTGCCAGTCGGCTCCCGTTGCTGAATCAGTGCCCTCTTAGGACTCTTGCCACAGGTGTCCTTTTGGGGCATATAAATGGCCCTGGTAGATGATTAAACCACCAGGTAAACCAGGGCCATCTATTTTTCTACCAAAACAACCATGCATCTTAGCAATCATCGGAGTGGACAAGGGGCGCTGCTCCAAATTCCAAACCCATGCTTGGTGCGCTTCTTCACCAGGTGCCCCAAATCAAGGCTCTCATCACTTTCCCACCCATCCTCGGAGATGGTGGGGTGAATGGCCACCGAGGCCTGACGTGCAGGCTGAGCCGGGGGGTTGTGTGGGAGGGGGGTGGGGGGCCCAGGCGGACGCTTTGTGCCACTTCAAAAGAAAGGACTCCGACTCCAACCTCCATTGTTTCAACATGCCCATCCCTTCCTATCACAATTCAACCGTTCACCTCTCCTCCGCCTCCGCCCATTCGCCTCGCCTCCCCGACCGGCCCCAAGCGCATCGACCGAAAGCCGATTCGCAGCAGGCCTCGAAGTCCGCCCGGGTGGCGCCCATACGGACCGCCACCGCGAAGCCCTGCATCATCTCATCCTCGATGACATCTGGACGCATCAGAATCAACACTGATCGGCGCGAAGAAGAAAAACCAGTGAGCCCAAAACCCATGGGCTCAAAGAGTTACCAAGGCGGCGAAGGCACCCATTTCAGGTGAACGGACTGTCCATTTACAAGCTTCAACTTCCCGGGTTTTGGATTGTGGCTCAAATGCCAAGGACAGGGTGAGCTCGCCTTCTCAGCTCGTGAAAGAAATGCCCAAAAGAGACACCTCTGAAAATCGATCATCGACCCACTGCCGCCCCTCCACGAAATCCGGAGTAAAGAAAGCAAACCAAACACTACCGCGGCACACTAGCAAGCAAACTCCCACGTCGCCTGAAGGCATACGCCTTGGACTCACGCTCCGAACAAATGAACCACCCCCCCTCCCTCGTAGATGATCCTTGATGTCGTGATGTTTGGCCAAGAGAGGGGAATGAACGCAAGCTGAATAACTTTCATTGGGAAATCCCTTGGCTCACACCAACAACGGCAACCCGAAACCCGCCCCTGCTCGACACTCGCCGAGCGTCGGAGTACGGGCCGATGCAGTGCAAGCCGACGATGCGCTCCTGC